CTATGTCATTAGCTAGCAGTATAGCCATGCAAGTTATTTAACCTCTCTAAATTTTGTTGTTGTTTTCCTGTTAATTACTTCTTTAAAATGAAACCACCTATCTCAGACACTTGTGGGCTAAAATGTAGGTACAGCCCAGTGTCTGGCACATAACAAAGTCTGAAGTATTAGCATTAATCTGTACTTTCTGAAGTTTGAAGAAGAAGCATTAATGATATAGTAAATCCCAAAATGTAAAAACTGGTATGTGGGGTGGCTTGGGGGTAAGGATCAGGCTTTTCATCTTTGCAGGCCAAATAGGAAGAATGAGATCAAGTTAGGAGTCCTTTAGTCTTGGGGTGGAGTGTGGGGCAGTGCTCAGTTCAGTTTGAGGAGAGTCCATTGGGAATGGGACAGTGGGAAGGGTCAAGGCTTCTAGGATCCTTGAAGGTCTTTACCAAAAGCCAGCACTGTGCAGAGAGGAAACTGAGTCCCAAAGAGAACGCCATGGTCCCCTGACTCATGACTGCTAATGACAGAGATGGGACCAGTCCTTGTCTCCGAGATAAAGCAATTCATTTCTGCACGGTGTGGGAGAGGGCTGTGACAGGGGTCACAGGAGTGGAGGAGACCCTTCGAGGGGGCTCACAGACCTCACAGGAGGCGCTGGCCAGATGGCTGGTGGTGTAGGGGCTGACAGTCCTGAGAAGACCTTGTCCCCACAGGAAGAAGGGAGGGAGCAAGGAAGCAGGATGTGGAGGGCAGGGAGCTGTCAGCGCCAGGAATCTTTCACAGAGAGAAAAGGGGCTGCGAGTGGAGGTGGGCTAAATCCCCCAACCCACCCCCCTCCTGAGGTCCAGCCCCCTGGGTTTCCTTCTGTTTTCTTCTGTTGCTTCTCAATTCTACTCTGAGGTGGAAACTGCCATTGTTCCTGTTCCCAAAGGGCTTTTGTAGAGACAAAACTCTCTGGCCACCTGGCCTCTCCCACTCCCTCAGGGGTTAGGACCAGGATTTTTTTTTCTCCCTCCTCCCTTTCCTTCTTTTCTTGTTTTTTAAAATTTTATTTTTAATGGATACATAATAAATGTACATTTTAAAAATATGTATTTTTTTATTGTAGCTGGACACAATATTTTATTTTATTTATTTTCACGTGGTGCTGAGGATCGAACCCAGTGCCTCACGTGTGCCAGGCAAATGCTCTACCGCTGAGCCCCAGCCCCAGCCCCTAGTTGTACATTTTTTGGGGGGTCCAGTACGATGTTTTGATGCCTGTCTGCCTGATGCAATGATCAAATCAGGGCAATAGGCCTATCTATCACCTCCAACATTTGTCATTGCTATGCATACGTTTCTAATAAGAGAGAGCTCAGTGCCCCGCGAGGAGCCCCACTCTGGCCTAGATTTCCCATTTACGGAAGGCACAGCTGGGTGACTTCTTAAATCTGGCTGGGCCAATTCCTACAAGGCCAGGCCCGGGTACCTCGGCCTGGAGAAGGAAGAGCTGCAGCTCTGGGCAGGGCAGCCTTGCCTTGCTGGTAACACTGACAGCGAAGCCCCAGCAGCAGTTCTGATCTTTATCTCGTGAGTGGCCAGGTTTTCCAGGTGTTTTACTTCCATTGCTTCATAGACTCCTCACCAAAACCTAAAAAAAAGGAGGAAGTTGCTGTGATTATTTTGGTATCACAGAGGAGCAACCCGAGGCCCTCAGAAGCTAAGAGTCATGACCAAGGTCACCAGGCAGAAAGGTGAGGCCAGGAGTCCCAGCCCCATCTGTCTGACTGCAAGGCCTCTGCAACCAGGAAGCTGGAGTGCAGGGGGGTTAGAGCAGGGCAGGTGAGAAGTCGGGCTTTGGAAGATAGAAGTGGTTCCTACAGATGGAGGAGAGGCCGGTGGACTTTGGGATCTCCCTTAGTCTCTGCTCCTCTAGAGGGGTCTTGAGACTAGAGCAGGCCTTCCTTCCTTCCTTCCTTCCTTCCTTCCTTCCTTCCTTCCTTCCACCCTTCCCTTCTTCCCTGCCTCCCATCATCCTTCCCTCCCCTCTTCCCTCCCTCCCTTTCTCCCTTCCATCCTTCCTTCCTTCCTTCCTTCCTTCCACTGATTGAACCAGGGGTAGTCTACCACTGAGCTGTATCCCCAGCCCTTTTTACATTTTATTGAAAGGCAGGGTCTCCCTTTGTTGTTGAGGCTGGTTTTGAACTTGTGATCCTCCTGCCTCAGCCTCCCAAGTATCTGGAACTTCAGGCTCTTGCCACCATCCCCAGCTGAAACTAGAGGTATTTCTAAACTAAGCTACAGGGGCTGGCTTCTTTAGCAGAGGGAGGTTATTGGGGGCCTATGGGCAAGATGAGAAAAAAGGTCCATTGACAGATGAAGACAAGCTCTGGTGGGACAGTGACTGGACACAGCTGGCCGCTGGAGTGTCCTCGGTTTTCATCCCAGCTCTATCTCTAGCTGTGTGACCTTAGATAGGACGTTTCCTCTTTGATCTTCGGTTCTCCGAGCTGTGCCCTGAAGCTCCGTGCTTTCTGAGGCTCCCTCCTGCTGACAGCCTGTGGTTTCAGCCTTGGATGTTCAGATGGGGCCTCCAGAAGGGGAGGCAAGAAAAGACTTAAGAGGGCGTCTCTGGGAGGAGAGTTGTCTTTTGGAACGTAAACAGACCTGGGAGCCTCAAACAGGCAGCCCCTTAAAAGGGCAAATATGTGCGTGCCCGGAGTGGGACAGGCCTTGCTCTTGGGGGATGGAACTTCTCTCTGGAGGGAGAAGTTTCTACCGTGTCTACCTTTCCCCTCCACTCCCTGTGCTTAGGGAGATGTTGAAACTATTCAATAACAGGTGTGGCCTGGACGTGAACCAGTCAGAGCAGTCAGGCTGTGAACAGGAGGTATAAGTTTGGACCAGAGTGTCCAAAGGTTGGACAGCCCAACCCCTGCGCATGATTTTTCCAGAAAAGTCTGGCTTAGGCGCTAAAGAGCCAAGAGTTGGATGGGGCATGTTGAGTGGGGGAGGCAGGAAGAGGGGACTACTATCCTCCCAGACATCAGCCTGTCCCCCTAGAGCCCTGCCATGCTGCCACCCAGCCTCACCACACCTTCATGCCCTACATGACGCAGTCCAGCTGACCAGCTGCTGGTGCACTGCAGAGCCTTAGGAGACAAAGGGGAGCTGGTCTGTATTCTGTGTGGTCATCCCCTGCTCCATAACAGGCAGGATACCTCCCTGGAGCCTGTTCCTGTCTGCCTGAGGACATGGAGCCTGACTGTCGGCCATCAGGGCTTTGTCTCACACACTCTTGGCCCCTGGCTACCAAGTCCTGTGGAAGTCTCCCTTCCTCTACATTTTCCTCAGCTGCCAGCCTGTCCCAGGCCTTGGGTCCATGTGCCAGGATCACTGTGTTCACCTGCCGTCTGCCTCCCTACCTTCAGACCCTGGGACTGATTCTCATTCCCTACAAAAGTTCCTGATGGCTTGTCACCTGGTGACAGAGATTTCAATCAGTAGTGCCTGACTGAATATTAAGGACCCGTCTTTCCCCCTTTTCCATGAGCATAGGTCATTTCCCAACTGACCAAGAGACATGTACTCAGCACAAACTAAGCACAAGTACTTTATTAGCTATAGAAGTGAAGTGGGTGTCAAGAAGCAGGAGACAGGACCCCTGCCCTCCAGGGGCCTTTGCTGTATTCATGACGGGCAATATGATAATTAGAAGATGTCCTTAGACAATGTGTTTTTTGAGGGTTGCCTAGGTCCGTTAAAAGACTTGTCACAAATCTTGTAAAAACAAAACAAAACATAACATAAAAACAGAGCCAATAAAAAGTTCTAGAATGACAATTAAAATAGATCATGATTTATGTGAAAAGCCGGATGTTACAGTAAATTATTACATGGATAGAGTTCAGAAATAAAGCAATGTTCTCTAGAAGTTATCTTGAGTTCACTAGGAACAAGTTATACCACATGTATCTTGTTGTTTTTTTCTTTGATAAGGTTCTAGAGCTCGGTGCAGAGGAATGCCCTAGATTTAGCATACCTTGAGTTCCACAGGGTTTTAGGAAAAAATTTTTCATTTTGTCATCATAGAAAAGAGGGCTGGATAGAAGCATAGTCATGTGGCTTTCGAGCTGGTTGAAGCAGTGAACCGTGAGAGTATTGATGAATAGTTCTCTGGCATTCTGAGATGAGGTGGTTGTGTTATGGGGCTGAATGTCTTTGTCATTGTTGACATGTTCAGTGACGATGTGGATGATGGCCATAGACCTTCTAATCAAGTCAGTGATCTGAATCAAGGAGAAACAGCTAAGAAGAATTGATCCCCCGCCCCCAAATGAATACCATCCAACAGAGAGAAATAGTCTTATATTTATGTTGCAAAACTTCAGATCTATAAGTATGGGATGGGGAAAATCTAGCTGGGCCTTGTTGCTATTTCACATTTATCCAAGTACAACAGGCTGGGCAGAAAACTGAGCAGATGTCAGAACCTCCAATCCTCTGTCTGTGGGAGGCCCCTGAACTAGGAGCTGTGCCACAGAGTCACCTTGGGGCTTTCCCTGCCAGCCCACCTCCACCCGTCCCTCCCTATTGGATGGTGCTTTTAAATCAGTCACTCCCAGATCCTGCAGCGAGTCGAGTGAGTGAACCCTCTTGGAAACTGCTCTTGCAGAGGGCGGGGAATCAGGTCCTGTCTGCACAGTCATGGAGAGGGTAACTAAGTGCCAGCTCTGAGCACCTCGAAGTCACATTCTGTGATTACAGCCCTCCTCCAGGGGCAAAGAGAGGGATGTGGAAGTGTCTGTGGCAGAAAACACTCGGGCACGGTAGGAAGGACATATAAATGCCTCCAGGTGGAAGGAGCTGGAAGAAACAGAGGCAGTGGGGGAAAGGGAGGCAGCCTTGGCTATTGGTTGTGAGCACCTGGCAGCTGAGGGACAAGGATTCTGAAGGCAGAGTGACCTCTGCCCCCACCTGCCTGACCGACATGCCTGATTGCCGGTGCTGTCTGTCTTGCTTCCTAGATCGTGATGAGGACCTGAGCATCTGCCTGCTGACAACCCCGGCCTAAAGTGACCATGGCCCCCCGCAAGAGGAGCCGCCATGGCCTGGGCTTCCTGTGCTGCTTTGGGGGCAATGACCTCCCTGAGATCAACCTCCGGGACAACCACCCTCTGCAGTACATGGAGTTCAGCAGCCCCATCCCCAACCCGGAAGAGCTTAATGTCTGCTTCGCAGAGCTGGTGGTGAGTGGGTGAGGGGCAGATGACGGCGGGGAGGGGGCAGATGGACAAGCAGAGTGGAACAGAGTGAGAGCCCATGAGCCGGGTCTCCACCTCTCAAGGCTCCTCTTGGGGCTGAGGCAGTCCCCCTGAAACATTTCAGCAATGCAGAAGAAGTCTCTCACTGGGGTGGGCATCATGCAATGGTCCCCAGAAGAAGAGACCCACCTCCTATTCCCTGGGAATTCTCAGTCACATGGTAGCAGTTGGGCTGTCATAGAATGGAGCAGATCCAAATTTTTGTGAAATTAGGCAGTGAAGAGTCTCGGAGAACATCAGAACCCTCAATACCTTTCCCTCTTCTGCTTTCTGGAGTTTCCTCTGGGCCTCTTGACCTCAGGACAGAAGAAAGGACAGGGTGGGATTCTTTAGGCAAAATTGGGCACCTTGGAACAGGCTGTGAGTGGCAAAAATATGGAGGTAGAGGAGTCTAGATCACACCCAGGATCTGATTCAGGTCTGGGATGACCAAGCCCTACGTCTCGCTGGGTTGACCACAGGTGTCATTCACATTGGCACCAGACCTTCCTGACCCCTGGTAGTGCCCATCCAGACCAGAGGCTCCGCCTGACATTGTGAGGATGACCACACAGACAGAAGAGGATGGAAGCACAATTCCCTTTTGGAGGTTCCATGATGATCCAAAGCCTGCCCACCAGGAGAGGCCCGGGCCTGAATCCCGACTTAGGGCCAGAAGCCCAGTTGCTCTGCCACTAGCTCTTGGTTCCTTATGCTCATGGCTGGCCTGTAGTCAAGACATAGAAAAATGGTACAGGTGGTTTGGAATGTGACTTATACATGCTTTTGCTATGAGATAAGGCTGGTGGAGGCAATCCAGTCCCACACATGAGACCCTCTAGGTTATCTAAAAAAGGTGTCCAGCTTCCTTCTCACCTCAGGAAAACTCACTGTTTCCAGATTTATTCCTTTCTCCAGAATAGGATCGGGGAACAAACATTTGGTACTGTAAGTAGTGTTTGGAGTCTGTCTGATATTAGGGATGTTTTCCTAATGTAAGTTTGGAAAGGATGTGACAAGAATTGTTCCCCTTTTTACCCTTTTTGTCCAACAAGTATTTACTGAGCATCTTGGGTGGGCAGGATCCTCACAAGGTACTTTGGCAAAAGCAAGGGTGACTTGGACAAGGCTTGCCTGCAAGGGGTCGGGTGTCAGGTATCCATCAAACAAATGAAAAGCCTTTCTTAGAGAGACTGCCATGCTCTGGGCCCTGCAGGGTCCCAGATATTTAGAGATGGTCTGACAGACAGGGCCCTGCATCCAGAAGGGGAAGTCATCCCGGTAACACTGGTCTGGAAAGCAGTGACAGAGTGGTAAGTCAGGACAGGGAACACTCAGGGGGCTGTGGGAGCTTTAGTCTAGTCAGGGAGGTCACAATGGCCTCCGTGAAGCAGCATTTCCATTGAGACCCCAAAGCCGAGTGAGGTTAGGTAAGTGGATGGGGAGGTAGAATAGAGAGGCTCCTTTGAAGAAGAAACAGCCTAGGGGAGAGTTTCAGGTTAAAATAGAGCTAGGTCATTTTGGGAGGCACAGCAAAAGTCAGAACAACTAAGAATTTGGGCCTGAATTCTAGGGAATCCTAGGAAATCTACGAGGTTGAGCCCCAGTGGAAATTCCCTGGAGGTTTTCAGGTGATCCATCTGCTTTCTTAAAAGACCATTCAGGGTATCTGTTGAAGAAGGGGTTTGTGCTGATCAGTAGGGGGCTGTTGTAGGCCACCAGGCTAGAGGCAGTAGTGGTTTGGACCAAAGTCATGAGGAAGGAGAATGGCAGATTTAGGAGGGATTTAGAAGGAAGGGTAAAAGGCAGGAATCATGGACACCCAGGCTGCTGAGATGAGGAGCTGGGTGGGTGCTGGGGCCCTGCACAAGATAGATACATAGGAGAAGGCTCAAGCTTAGGGGGCTGAGATGATGAATTCAATTTGCTTTTCTCTCTATGCTTCAGTTTCCTCATCTGTAAAATGGGTTGTTGCATGATTCAAATAAATGAATAATAGCACTTTCAACAGTGCCTGGCACATGGTAATGTGACTTACGTGTATGAGAAACCTGAAGAGCAGCAAAGGGGAAAAGTACTGGAGTCAGCTGGGTCTCAGGATCTGGTGGGCTGGAGGAATAGGTCTATGAGGTGTTGGCATAATAACCAAGTCCTTGGGAATGAATGTGAAGCCTGGAGGGAGAACAGAGAAGGACACTGTACCATGTCCCAAGCTTTTGAAGACAGAAGAGACATCATCAAGGGAGCCTGAGCAGAAACATAAAATGAAGTGCATGGGACTGCCCGAGAGTGTGGCTGCTGAAGGGACCACAGAACAGGTTCCATAAGGAGGGAGAGGTCAGCAAAGTCCCATGCTTCCTGGGCTGAGGAGAATGGCCAAGAGATTCCCATTGATGGAGAAATGGAGACTGCTGGCAAGTGCCTGAATATCCAGAATACAAGACCAGACGTAATCCAGGAAGGGAGCGATGGTTCCTACCAGGGAAGGTCAGAGAAGGCTCGCTAGAGGAAGCCGGCGTTGAGCCATGGGAGTTACACCATGGTCCTTAGCCTGGTTGGTAAGAAGAGGAACAGATTTGAAGAAGGGCTGAGTTTGTGCTGGAAAATGTCAGGTTAGGTACATGCAAGTGTCATTTTTCTTTGGTTTCTGATCCTGACCATGGAAAGGAAACCTCAAACAGTGTTCTGATGATTTTTTTTTATTGATTTTTTTAAAATACACGACAGAGGAATGCATTACAATTCTTATTACATATATAGAGCACAGTTTTTCATATCTTTGTATATAAAGTATGTTCACGCCAATTCTTATTACACATATATACCACAATTTTTCATATCTCTGTATATAAAAGTAGGTTGACACCCAATTCGTGTCTTCATACATGTACTTTGAATAATGATATCCATCACATTCCACCATCCTTGCTAATCCCCTGCCTCCTCCCTTTGACCAAGGACATTTCTGGAATATGGAGAGAACCCTTCTAGGTGTCAACCTTTGTTTGACACTAAATCTGCAAAAGTCGTTAGTTCCCAAAGCAGGTGAACTGATGGGCGTTATTTCACATTCTCATTGTATGCATGCACCATCCAAATGACAGCCACAGGCCACATGCAGCTACTGACTGGTCTGAACGGCATGAACTATCAAGGAAAATCCATACTGGATTTTGAACACTTAATTTGAGAAAAGGAATATAAAATATTTTACTGATAAATTTTTACATCAAATATCTGTTGAAATAGTCATGTTTTAGGTGTATTGGCTCAAAAATGTATTTGAGTTAACTTCACTTATTAAAATTTATTATAGTTTTAATGAGGCTAAAACATGTTTAAAATCTATATTGCCCATATTATATTCCTATTGATAGTTCTGGTCTAGGAGAAGGAAAGTCTTAATTGTTTTCCCTTGAATGGAAGTATCCAGAAACGGTTGTAGATGTTGAGATTTAAGACCCTTAAACTACCTTAGTTTTGCTTTCACTGTTGCATTTGAAAATATAAAGTGCATTTAGTAGTATTATGCTTTGTTGTCTTCTTGTGGGTTTTGTTTTTGATTTTTAAAATGTGCACAATTTAATTGAATAGCACACCATGTTCCCAGTAGCCTGTTAACTGTTATCTTTGATGAGCCCTGGGGTTGCTGATGAATTATAGGAAAAAAAACTTCAAAAAGAGCTTTTGTAGGGACCACCTACCATAGCAAATCTGGAAACTCACCCAAACTACGACAGAGTAACCCCCAAATGTGACAACTGCAGAAGCTTCCAGTTCTATTTTCCAGAAATGGTGGGCCCACCTGGAGGAGGCCCCAGCTTTGTGCACGGGCAGCCCTGTGGTGGAGAGGCTAATTCTAGCGGGCACTCCCTCCAGGGGAAGTGGATCAAGGCTGCCCTTGATGTAGCATGCCCTCTGCTCAGCCCCTTGTCCTCACCTGCTCTCCTGGGCCCCTGCTGGAACCCACACGGAGGTTGGGAAAGCCAGAGGTTTTCTGGGGGAGAGACTCAAAAGGCAGTAGATTTGAAGAACAGGGCAAGCATCTGAGAGAGAGGCAGGACTTGCTCTGTAAACAGCCCCTCTCTTTGTCCAGCCTTGTCCTGTGATGTTGGCAAGTATAGGAAGGCTCTGAGCAGGAAGACCTGAAACCCTGGGCAAGAGGATTAGGGAGTAGGGCCAGCGAAGGTCAGGAAATGGGGTGAGCTGGAGGAGAAGAATGGACTTGTCCAGATAAGCCAGGGGTGGACAGGAAGTAAGGGAGTTTGAGTAGAAGTACAGGCTGGGTTGGAACAAGGGATAGGGAAGAAATTCCCCATCTTATCTTTGGTGTTCTTTGGGAGAAAGATAGTAGGCCAAGGCATAGGTTTGGGGGCATTCTAAATTCCGGTAGGGCTGAATATTCTACTCTCAACCATCGCTGGGTTTCAGACATGATTTTTCTTATTGCCTTTGCAGGATGAATTGGATCTCACAGACAAAAACCGGGAGGCTGTGTTTGCACTGCCCCCTGAGAAGAAATGGCAGATCTACTGCAGCAAGAAGAAGGTGACCCCCTTTCTCACCCTTCCAGCCGCATCCCGGGGCCACAGCCAGGGCCAACTCTTGATGCCTTAGTCAAACATTTGTTCAACAGATAGTCTTATGAGCTAGTGCCCTTCTAGGTGTGGGAGGAACAACAGGCAAAAACAGGAAAAAAAAAAAAAAGGCTTGGGGTCACATGTCCATCCTTGGTCTCCTCACTGTCGTGCCTTCCTTCTTTTCCTTTAAAGAAGCTGTGGGTGTCTTGCCTGTTGCCCTCCCTACAAAGGCCAGTGCCAGGCTCCATTGGGTTTCACCTCTGTCTGCTTCTCAGCATTCCCTCCTCCGGCTCTGCAGCCCCTCGGTTCATCTCCTCCTCTCCTAACCTCTCTTATCTCCTTTATTTTAGCTTTTCTGTTTCTTTTACTTTCTATTTTTCTTTTCTTGGTTCACCTTTCTCCCCTCCCTCCATTTTTCAGACTGCAGTTACGGCTCCTTTTCCCAACCTCAGAGTATGGGTATTTGGGGTGAGGATCTGGATACTCCCCCGTCCCCTGGAGAAGACAGGCAGGTCCAGGTGGGGTCTGAGCTGACCCTCTTTCCACTCCCCGTGCCCATTCATAGCTCTTAGTTTACTCTTCCTGGTCAGGATATTTGTCCCATCCCAGGGCTCCATACTGAGCCAGGCTGACCTTATCATGGCAGGTCATAGAATCATAGACCCTTTCAGAACTGGAGGGAACCTGAGAAACAATCCTCTCAAGTCCTTTATTACATAGGAATCAGGGGAGGCCTAGAGAGACCATGGGCTCACCCAGTCACCCACCAGTGACAGCAGGCAGCCAGACCACTGCTGGGGACAAAAGAGCCTCAAGGCACACACTGTAAGACTTTGTTTAATATTGCACGACATGTTTATGTCGTGCAGAATACAATGGTCAGTGTCTACTAACATAAGAAAAGCAGGCCTTGAAAAAGCTCAAGTCTTGGAAGAAAGGAAGAGGAAGGAGGAGAAAATAAACTTTAGGAGCAATTAATCATACTTCATGAGTCTCCGCTTTCCAAATTGATTACTATAGAGTTCCCTTAATATAATCTCTTGTGTAGCTCAAGTAAAAGATTTGTTAAAATATAAGGGCATCTCACAGTACTTTGAAAACCAAATTGTGTATGATTTCCCCATCTACTCTGACACCTGTCTGTCTTCCCACGTGGCAATTTCTGTGTCTCCCCACCTGTCTTAGCCTCACGATTTCAATAACTCTACCCAGTCCTCTTAACCATCCCCCACCCACAGCCTTCTGTTAGATGCCCGCCCCCAGGTTCATTACGGACAGTTCTATAGAACATGTTCCACTCTTTCTCCAGCACTGGACTGTTATAGCAAAGGCAGGATGACTTTTTACTCAGTACCTTCAGGCCTCACCATTGACTGGCATTCAGTAGGTATTCATAAAATGCATATGGAATGGATAGAATAATAAGCCAGCAAATGCAAGAAACTGTATGTTTCCTGATTCCATTGTTTTTGCTGGTGCAATTCCTCCCCAAGGTAGAAGACGGAGTATATGGCATTTACTCACGAAGATTTTAACACATAAAGCCCTATGAGGTCGCTAAGACCAGAACAGGGGCAGGTTTTGCACTGGTCTAAAATTTGCTTGAGTAGGCAGAGCTGAGGGACCAGGGTCAGCTGGCAGGTGGCAGAAGGGAGGGTTTTTCAGGGAGGTTCTGGAGGAGGTGAGTTTTTATGTAGATTTGCAAGCAGGAGATTACAAATCTTGACAGCAGATGAGAAAAGTATCCAAAGTGACCACGGCACAGGGACAGAAAGGAACAGGATGTGTGTCACGCCCAGAGGCAGATCCATTTGGCTGGAGAAGGCTGGATTTCTTTCAACATTAATGGCTTTTGAACTCCACCATGCTGTCCCAAGCAAGGGGAAGAGCTAAGCCTTTCTCTTAGGGATTGAAAGCCACCCGAAGGTCCTCTGCACTGCTGCCCAGCTGGCCAACCCACTTCATTCTGGGAAGTTTGACAGTGAATGAATCACAGGCAGAGAAGGGGTTTCTAAGCCTTTCTAGAACCCATGTCTTGGGATTTGATTTCTTTTTTGTAGTTGCTATTTATTGAGTACCTCCTGTGTGTTTTGCACTACACCAAATGCTTTATATCATTATTCCCAAACTGAAAGACCGAATTTCTAAATTTCCAAACCGCCATAGACCAGTACTGTTGTATGATATAAGAATGACATCAGCCAAAAATGAAAGATGTACAAAATATAGGCAAAAATTTGTATTAGACACAACAGTCATAAAATTACATTTTATTAAGTGTAGGTAGAACAGTTATAGCAGGAGAAAAGAGTTTTAAAAACAGTACATGCCCTCCATTGGAAGTGTCTGCCTGCATAGTTTCTGCCTGTGTCATTAGTGGGTCACAAGATTCAGTGTTTGTTGTCGATTTTATCAAGGAAGAAACAGGAGCCTGGGGAGGTTTTGCATCTTGCTCTAGTTATCCACTGTGGGCAGGGCTGGGAACATTCCCTCTGCTGACTTCAAATAGAGCTCAGGGTCACAGGCCATGGGTCTTGCCAGTTGATCCATACCATCCTTCTTCTTGTTCCAGGAGCAAGAGGACCCCAACAAACTGGCAACCAGCTGGCCTGACTATTACATCGAACGCATCAACTCCATGGCTGCGGTGAGCGGCTGGTCCTCTCCTTCTCTCTCTCCACCTGGAGAGAGTAAGAGAGAGTCAGACCCCTCCGTTCTCTCCGTGTCCTACTGAGGTGTAGAGGTTTTCCATTACTCCTGAGAACTCATCATAATCCACCCCTCCTCTGTGCAACTTCAGAGTGCCCCAACTATTTAAGCATTTATTAACCCATCTGGATGTCACCCAGGCTTGGGAAATAGGTTGGGCCAGTAATTCTTCCTATTTCACAGAAGAAGATAGTGAAGTCCTAGACCAGAACCTGGGTCCCCTCAGACCCTCTGTCTTAGTAAACTAATCCCTGAGGCCTTACTCTTCCTGAGGTGAGGGTGCCCCTGAGTCAAGCCTGGGTTAGGGGACAGGTGGCCCAGTGTGACCAGTTGACCAGTATCCCCTCTTACCTGCTGGCTCCTCAGATGCAGAGTCTGTATGCGTTTGATGAGGAGGAGACAGAGATGAGGAACCAGATCGTGGAAGACCTGAAGACGGCGCTGCGGACACAGCCCATGAGGTGACTGGGCCTCTTTCCTTCCTCACTTCGAGTCCTTGCCCAGGTGGTCCCCTGATGTGCTCTGCTCCTATGCTGGCCCTTGCCAGTTCTACCTGACATTCCTAGACTCTACCTCACCCTTTCACTTCCAGCTCCGTCTCCCCTCTGCTGGGTCGCTGCGAGCTGCTGGGGTGGGGGTGGGGGGAGTAGAACCCGGGAGAGGTTCAGATAAGCCTCGGGTCCTCAGGAGCTCTCTAAAGAGGGATCAAGGGCAGGCCCTTGGTATTTGGAGGAAGAATAGAACAGGAGGGTGGCCAGATGGACAAAGCATGTAAGGAAGGACTTCCTAAGAATGAGGGGACAGGGTGAGTGCCCCAGTCAGGGAGAAAGTGGGTGTGGGTTAAGAATGACTTCAACCAGGATCGGGGGATATAGAGTCAATGCATGAGCTTTGACCATCTCTGAGTGGAAGCCATGGGGGCTGCAGAAAGGAGATGGGTGTCTCCGGTGCCATAGGAGGACTCCTCCTACCTCCCAGACCACAGTGTATAGGGCCCCAAAAGAGCATGAGCTGTAAAGGGTTCCTTGCCTTTGGCTCTGGATGTATCCAGGCACGTGCAGGAACTAGTTGGTGAGAGGTGATTGTTAAATCTTCAGCAATGGGGCACACTAGTTATTAAACCTATTAATTACATAAACTTACAATTAATTAAATTATATCAAAACCAATACTTGAAACATATAAGTCTCTAATTCTTTTTCCACATTTTGCTATTACATATGCTCTTCACTATTGAATTTACACTCTTGAATTTATGCCCTTTATGTGTGTATGGTGGAAACACGGCCTAAATGAGGCATCTCTTTCCAACTCCATGTTCAATGACATCACCACGGATAGCTTGAAATCAGCTAGGCTAGGAGCATTTATGTCCTGGAAATGGGCAAAGAGTACAATCAGGTCTTTTCTGCTCTCTCTCTTTCCCTAAGGAACTAGTTATTAGCATGTGTCACCTGTCCGCTGCGGGGGTATATATGCATTGTCCTGGTCCTGGTTGAGCTCTCTGCCCTGGGACCTGGAAACAGCCTTCAGGAGGGTGGAGCATCCACATCCCTGTGTCCCTCTGCGCAGGTGGGGGTCAGTCTGGGAAGGACATGCATGCAGGAAAGAATGAGGTGCTCACAAAGTAAAGAGGTCGAGGGAAGTTGCCAAGTTCGTCCACTTCAATTCATTTTTAATTTCCTTAATAAAATCTAGATTACAAAAATTACACATAGTCATTGTGGAATTTTGTAGCATACAGAAGAGCATCTGTTAGAAAAAAGGAAAAAAATCTATTATTAATTCGAGAGCATATTCTAGGCATATTTGCATCATAGGTATAATACAAAATACTTATAAATATATTTATCTATTGATTATAGATAATGTTCCCTAAGATCAATTTATAACCATTTCCTCAGTTCTTTGGGTATTATTCTACTGTATCAAGAACTGTAAACCTTCTTTTGTGTGTTGCCTTGGAGTCTGGCACCCAGATGAAACCTATGGAGTGTTTCTCAGAAATGATGTTTTTTAAATAATAAAAGAGATAAATAGGTAGGGTTAAAAAATAAACAAATTCAATTAAAATATAGTTACCAATATTAAAAATGCATGAGATAGCAATAAATGTGCCTCTTTATGCTTTCCACAGCAATAGCTGGCACCAGATCTGATAACAACCACCATAATCTTGACATGCTGTTGGGTATAAATGATTTTGAGATCCCAGCAAAAACTATAATTTGATATGAAAATAGCAGTGGTTTGTTTGGGTGACAGAGTTACATATTCTTCTAATAGCACTCTCTTTGATAGCCTGCACTCATTATTGAGGGAAATGCTTAATTTCAGTTAGAGGTTTTCAAAAATAAAAATGTAAATGTCTTTTCCCCTCCCAGTGCTTGGATCCCTGAATGCTATCTATAGACTCTTTGCAGAAACACAAACTACAGGTTAAGAAACCCTGAACTAAATAGATTTTAATGTTTTCTGCTAACATTCATGATAACTTTGCTATTTTCTTGAGGATCTCCTGAAATATAGTTTTCTAGCCTTGGTCCCTTAGCTCAGTGAGTCTGACGGCCCCTCTGTATTAAAATCTTTCTTGTGCTCTGATTAAGTTCTTCTAATTCCCATTCTCATTAGAGATGGATCTTTAGGTTTGCTGGCCATAATAATTGTGATCATTCCTTCACCTCCATCCCATTTAAACTATGCAATTGAGAGTCAATGCTATGCAAATGCACACTATTTAAAATGCCAATAAAACATGAGTTTTCTGTGAGGACGATAGGGTTTCAGTGCTTTGGGTAAACTTTATAAATGAACCAAGCAACTGCTGTAGATGGGACGTGGTCCATGGCAGGTCACAGGTCATGAGGTGGCTATTTGCAAAATGTACACAGAATGACCTTCAGGATGCCTCTTTTGCTAACGCCTCTGGCTGATAGGTTTGTGACCCGCTTCATCGAGCTGGAGGGCTTGACCTGTCTGCTAAATTTCCTCCGGAGTATGGACCATGCCACCTGTGAGAGCCGCATCCACACCTCCCTCATCGGCTGCATCAAGGCACTGATGAACAACTCCCAGGGGCGAGCTCATGTGCTGGCCCAGCCCGAGGCCATCAGCACCATTGCCCAGAGTCTGCGCACAGAGAACAGCAAGACCAAGGTGGCCGTGCTGGAGATCCTGGGCGCTGTGTGCCTCGTCCCTGGAGGCCACAAGAAGGTGCTGCAGGCCATGCTACACTACCAGGTGTACGCAGCAGAGAGGACGCGCTTCCAGGTGAGAAGTGTGACTCTAGGTGGTGGTGCCAACAGGGTGGGCAGAGGTGACACATACTGGTGGCAAGGGACAGTAATGGAAACTGGAGGAAAAGGAGTCATCATGGGTGGCATGCTTGCTTGGGGAAGGAAGAGAGGACTGGGAACCAGGGGACTTACTTCCAAAGACATGATGGGTGTAGCTGGGGAAATGGGCTGGTCTCCACGAGACTGTGAGTTCCTGGAATATTTGTTGGCCTCATCTTTGTGGTTCTGCATCCCTGCACCTAGTGCCTGGCTCATGGTAGGGTCTCAGTCAAGAATTGAATGTAGGGCAATTGCTGGGGTCAAGATTCTAGGCTCAAAGCCTGGACCAGTGCCTAATGAGGGGACACTGGGACAGCACTGAGCCATGCCATTCTCTTTTTTTCTCTCTGACCTACCCAGAAAGTAATATATAAAGTATCTCAGCACAGTGCCTGGCACAGAGCAGGCCTCAAACTCTATGACTTATTGTCTGAATAGGCTTTTGGTTGATTCTGTCAGCAAACATTTCTGAGTAGCTGCTCTGTGCAGAAAGTAGCCCATAATCCTTTGCAGAAGTTGTAAAAGGAAGGGAAGGTAGCATCCATGCCATCGGGAGCTGGGGAGGGAGTCAACACACGCTACAGCTGGATCTGGCCCTGCAGCCCTGCTCAGCTGTAGAAACTGAGCCTGGGGGCCTCGAGGGCAGGAAGGCAGGTGGGGCAGAGACAGGCATGGAGAGGCACCGGAAGTTCCCACCTGAGGTGAGGTCTGAGGTGGTCCCAGATAAGCTCAGATATGTGATTGGACAGAGAGAGCAGAGGAGACCTCTAGAGACATCAGGAGCAAAGGGGTGGAAACTGTTCTTGTAGGACCCTGACCCCTGCTCCTGCCCTGTCCTACCTTCCCATCCAGACTCTGCTGAATGAGCTAGATCGAAGTTTGGGCCGGTACCGGGATGAAGTGAATCTGAAAACAGCCATCATGTCCTTTATCAACGCTGTCCTCAATGCTGGAGCCGGAGAGGTGAGGCACCTTGACCTTGCCTTTGCTGGCTCCCGATTTCTGACCCTGGGGTACAGTGTGTGTGAGTGTCTTCTTCCTGAGGAAGTGCCATCTGAGAGGAGGGCCATCTGGTCCATGTGCCTGTTACTGCCAACATCACCTTGCGATTATCTTTAGAACCTATTGTTTCCTTCACTTGGGGCCAAGAAAGAATAGTTTGTCATGACCCTCATCATTGCTAGGGCAATACCACTGCAGACCTGGACTGCACGAAACTCACTGCTTATCAGAGGCTCCTCAAAGCTGCCCTGAGGACTGTCTGGCTTTTCTTGACTTTATCTAAACCTGGGAGGGCTCCTGGGGAGTTTCCTGCAGAGGTGGCATGGTGCATTATGTGTACCGTGGTCACACTCCCAGCTGGGCTAGCTGGTGATGGCTTAGGTGGTGGGGGATTGTTTATGGGAGGATGTCAAGTTTTGACCCTTCTTTCTAGAGCTTTCTAGAAACCTGCTTCTGAATTTCTTTATTTTTAAAAAATATTTATTTTTTTTTTCATTTTAGTTCTTTGATTTTCACAACACCTTTATTTTTTATTTACTTATTTTTATGTGGTGCTGAGAATCAAAGCCAGGGCCTTGCCCATGCTAGGCGAGTGCTCTACCACTGAGCCACAACCCCGGCCCCTGAATTGATTTCTGAGTTGGCTGGTCTTGCTTTTCTAGCACCTTCTATTAGGAGGTGTGGTTTCTGGTTTCCCTTCAGATCAAAATGTAATTCTCAGAATATTAAGATAGCAACATTAGAAGAAATTGAAGAGCAGATGAACACTCCCCCTTCCAATTCTAAGGCAATCAGATGAACCCCATCAAGGTGAACTTGAAGGACAAAAAGGGCAAAGAAAGCAACTGAATGATCTAACTTTTCCCTTTTCTCTGCCAGCATACATTTTTTACATGCAAATATGATGACAGAATTAGGCGAGGTAGGAATGGGGAATAATCTGTCCCTGAGATACTGACATCACAGCTCTGTATGGTTGTCATCCATTCTGATTGGGAGTAGTCACATCACGGCAGGTAATTTTTATGAACATCACCTGTACCAGTAAGTTAGTGTTATGACCATTTAACAAATGAGGAATCCAAGGCTTTGCCAAGGTCAAAACACTACGAAGAGACCGAGTAGGGATTTAACCCAAGGTCTCCCTGACTCCTAAGCTCATGCCCAGGTCACTCTGCCGTGCTGCTTCTTGATGCCAAAAGCTAAGAGAACATTGGTAAGGGGCTAGAAGGAAGTGACGTGGGAGACCTAAAAGGAACTGGGCAGTGGGCTTGCTTAGAGGAATAACAAGGTCAAGGTTATCTTGTTCCATCCTGCTTTAGAACCCTGGGACTTGAAGCAGCTCAAGTGAGTTTGCTGCTGGCGAGGTGGGACGATGGCTGGGGTGTGGACAAGGGGTCCCCAGGGGATTCTCTTGGGCATAAGACCAACCACTCAATTCCGTGCTGTTTTGGTGACCCCCAGGATAATCTGGAGTTTCGTCTACATCTACGGTATGAATTCCTGATGCTGGGGATACAGCCTGTGATCGATAAGCTCCGACAACACGAGAACGCCATCCTGGACAAGTAAGGCCCCAGCCACCCAGCCCCACGGCAAACGGGTAGGGACAGTGTCTCAGTTGGAGATGGCCAGGACCATTGTGAAAGCTGCCCTTCCCTGCCATATCCAGCTGTGTATGGGGCAGGTGTGCCCTAGCCTGTCCCCTGTGCTGACCTTGACTCATCACCTAGTGTATAGGCAGGTGAACCCAGTAGTTCTCAACCATGCCAGCACTGCCCCCTGGGGGACACTTGAAAATATGTGGGACTGTTCTTTGATTTTCAAGTTGGTTGGTTGGGGACAAGAACGCTAAACGCCCTGCAGTACACTCTTGCTCAGAAAAGAAAAGCCCATCCAAGATGCATATGATAAAGCCTTTGCTGATCAAAGAGCAGAGGTAGATTCTTGTGTTACCAATGAGTCCCCTCCGGTTCAGTCCCATTAGCACAGGCTATTATTGCACTGGGTCGCAAGGGGGAGAGGATGTCTGGGGAGGAGCGAGCCTGTGTGTTGATGGGGTGGGAAATAAGGGAGACATTAGCTTGAGGGCTGACCTGGGGACAGTAGAAGGACACTGGGAAAGATGGATGGAGGGCAGCAGTTCTTGACTGAGGGCAACTGTATCCCCCAGGAGACCCTCAGCCCTGCCTGGAGACATTTTGGGTTGTCACTCTTGGGGGAGGAGAGGTGTGGGCATCTAGTGGGTAGCAACCAAGATGCTCAACACTTCACAGACATCAGTCTTCCACAGTCAAGGGTAATGGAGCCTAAAATGTCACTAGTGTCAAAACTGAGAAATGCTGACCTTAGAAGATAGGACCCTGGGATGACCTCCCTGAAGGAAGGTCTCGGGCTCTTATAAAGGGCAGGTATTGGCTTCTATCCAGTAGCTTCTCTCTTTTGCCTTAGCCTCACCTGAGTTAAACTTTGAGATTTTGCCAGTCGGGGGAGGTGGTTGAAGGGGCTTAATCCCCAATCAGGGATGTCCTGGCTGTAATGTCTACCCGCTCTGTTCCCCCATCCTCTCTAGGCATTTAGACTTCTTTGAGATGGTCCGGAACGAGGACGACCTGGAGCTAGCCCGGAGGTTCGACATGGTGAGGAGCCTCTGGGGATGGGGTGATTGCAGTGGGGTCCCAGGCAACCACATAACCACTGCTCTGGGTCCTGTGTTGGGGTGAGTCCAGTGTTGGTTGGGTCCCTAGGGGTGCCACATGGCTGGGTCCTATTTCTGGAACTCTTGTGGTATGCTGGCTCCGGTGGCCCCACCTGATGGGCCACACCTGGACATCTGTCCCTAAGGAGACCAAAATGCCACAAAGAAAGACTGTCATAATCTTGTATACAATTAGTCTCAAAATCTTTCTAGGGCTGACTTTCTTCTTGCCTTCTGGAAGTTTTCTGAATCACCTCTCTCCATCCCTAACCAGCTCATGCTTAGAAAACCAAATCATTTTAGCTGTAGCAACTCTGAAGACACACCCCTCCCATGCTTAAACATCACGTAATAAAATCCCTACCTAAACCGAAGCCGCCTCCTGGGCTGGAGGGTGCTTCAAGGCACCAAGAACTACCCCCCCACCCCCACCCCCGTTGTATTTTCACAAAAGCCCGGGATTTTATACATAACAAAGTGGGGGTGGAGAGGAGGAGCATCTTGCCTGTTGTCCACAGCTGGTGAGTAGATCTGGGACTTCAACCCAGTTGGTGGGCCTGGGCCGCCCCAGGACAGGTGCTACCCTGGAGCATCTCTGCCCGCCCCCTTCCTTCCCTTAGTTTGGATCAGTAGTTCTCAACCAGGGCTGGTTTGGTCACTCCCACCACCCAGGGCACATCTGCTGAAGCTGGAGAAGTTTTTGATTGTGACAACTTAGGGAGGCGCAGGGGAGGATGCCACTGGTATCTGGTGGGCAGAGGTCAAGGACATTGCTGCACATCCTGCAGTGCACAGGATGGCTCCAACAGCAGGCAGTCATCCAGCCCACGGTGACAATGTCCCTGGTTTAGGTGATTAACATCCCTGCCCTCCTCCTTTTTAAGTCTCAGCCAGAAGTGTGGGAGAAAAGCTGTCCTGAGAGAGGAGGCAGCGAGGAAGGAAGCAGGGCTTTCTCCCCGCTCTTCTCTTTCTCTGCTGCCTGTCTGTCCCCACTCACCGTGCCCCTGTTCCCTCAGGTGCACATCGACACCAAGAGTGCTTCCCAGATGTTCGATCTGATCCACAAGAAGCTGAAGCACACTGAGGCCTACCCATGCCTGCTGTCTGTCCTGCACCACTGCCTGCAGATGCCCTGTGAGTACCCTGCGCTCATGCTTGCCTACTGGGCCTGAGATCCCCCCAGGGCAGGTTGAGATGAGACTTTGGGACCTCTCTGGGCAGGTGAGACTGCCCACATATCCCTCTGCACTTACCCTTGGGAGGCCAGACCACATGATGCAGGCCCCTCCCTTACCTCCCTTCTTGGGGGTCACGATGTCCAGTGTCACCCAGTAGAGGAGCTGGGATTGGGCCTGAGCAACTCTAACATCCTTGTCAACAAAACAGTAGCTTGATCATTGCAAAATCAAATAGCTCTGCTATTTCTTCATGACAAAGACCATCTTAATTCTCAAAAGAAGTTTTGTGCTTGCAGAGGTAGCTAAGATGTGCAATGAGCATGTTCTTTTTTTTTTTTTTTTAAGGTTCTATCACTTTTTTATTTAGTCTTTGCTGACTCTCACCCTAACGCCTTTGCCCCTGCTTCTTTAGGTATCCCAAATAGCATCTCAGAAGCAGGTGTCTAAGTTCTTAAGATACAGGTGTGTGCAGTGATTGATTAAATTACCAACAGCAACCCCAGGATGCAGGTTGAAATGAGCTTTAACTACACCGCTTGGTACTCTAGCTTTTCACAAAGCAGAATATTTTTTTGTATTCCATTGGCCCATCCTAATGGCCAGCTGAATTGGTGGTGTGCTGAATTGGTGGTGATAGAGGTTTGGTGATCCCAGGGATGGTGTCTACAGATACAATTTATTGTGTGCCAACTTTGGGCCTGACATGACGTGAGGTTCTTTAGCATATCATCCCTGAACTTCAGAATGACCTGAGAACTGTATACTAAGGTTTGCAGTTTTGTCTCTATTTTGCAACCAATGGATCTGAGGCTAAACAAGTTCTTCCGTAGAGAATTTTCCTTTCTCTGGGGATAGGACTTTAGGTGAAAAATGTTCTTTTTACCTGGTGAAAAGTAAATGAGTGACACTGTCACTTGGTAACGCATGTGTTGGTGAAACAGTGGAAAGTAAGACAGAGACAATGAGTGGGACCAGGAAGTGATCAGTTCTCTAAAACTCAGCTCAGAAGGTCATCAGGGAAGACGGGGAAGGCCCCAGAAAGCTGGCTGCTTTTGCTCCCAGTGGTTCCCAAGTCTGGTGTTCCATGAGCAATGCGCGTGGGTCTCTCTACTCTGCCCCCAAATGAGGTTTTGAAGACAATCTGTCAACTCTTGGGTGGAATTTGAAGTCAGGATTTCATTGGTTGACTTCTGTTGGGGGTCTGTGGAGATGAAGTGTGTGGCCTCAAGGACCAGAGAAGACCTAGGGTCTGTCATGTCGAGCTGGACTAGGACTCGAGAGGATGGGAGTGGGGCCTTGTGAGATCAGGCACAGTGTATCATGCCTTTGCCTTCATAGTTCAAGGTCACCTCAGCCAATAAATCCTCCTGGGTTCCATTAACCACTTCTTTGACTCATTTTGAGGTGCTCTCTGTGCACACCTGTAATCAGTTTCCTTTCATCTTCCTCTGTAGAGCAATAACATAGATAATCCTAAAATTTTTTAAAAATATCTTCCCCCGAAGACTTCATTATTTAGAGCATGTAATATTTCAAAACAGGTGCTTCTCATAGATAATGTAAAAAGCAATTTACATTCTGAGAGTATAGTATGGCCGGGGTCCCAAGAGGGAAGAAAGGCAGCCAGGAAGCATTTCATAGAGAGAGAAGTACGTTAGCAGGGTTGATGGTTCACAGAAGGTCCACTGCAGGTAATCAGGAGACGGCTGGGTTCGGGGGTCTCCATTCTCACAGCGGCATCGCACCTTCCATCAGACTAGGAGCTTACCAAGCAGGAGGAAGGGGTGCCTCACCAGCAGAGCCTAGGAGGTCCCTCTGGGGCGGTGTCTCCAGGATCTCCAGGGCTGCGTTACAGATATGGGGCTGTCTTCCCTCAGACAAGCGTAACGGAGGCTACTTCCAGCAGTGGCAGCTCCTGGATCGGATCCTCCAGCAGATTGTCCTCCAGGATGAGCGAGGTGTAGACCCTGACCTGGCTCCACTGGAGAACTTCAATGTCAAGAACATCGTTAACATGTGAGTCGTGGCCGGCCTTTGATCTGTCTCTCTCTCCCACTCTGGGTCTCACCAGTGCCGCCTCCGCTCCCTCTCTCTACCCAGACACCCCCAAGTGAGCAGCATTGTTCAGTCGAACTCTCCAGGATAAAGGAGAAGCTGCACATCTGAACTGTCCAATGCAGGAGCCAAATGTGGCTATTGAGTACTTGACATGTGGCTAGTGTGACTGAGGAACTGAATTTTAAATTTGAACAGCAACATGACATGTGGCCAATGATTAGCGTCAGGCAGCACAGGTGTGTAGGTTGTGTTCTCGACTCTCGATGACCCTGTGTGGGTTGGATGGAGGGGTTATTTAAACAAGTCCACACGGCGCTGAGCAGGAAACTGTGGCACATGGGCTAACTTCCACCTTCCAGCTTGTTTTTATATGGCCCATGAGCTAAGAGTAACTTTTGTATTTTAAACACAAACGCAAGAATATGTGACAGAGACTAGACATGGTGTGTAAAAACCTAAAATATTTACTCTGGCCCATTACAGAAAGTTTGCCCACCACTGACAGAGAGCATGGCCATTTGACCATGAGCATGTTGAATGAGGTGGTCAGAGCCTGAAACCATCTGGCTTATATTTTACCCACCCTGGATATAGAGGAATACAGAGAATCTAAATTTACACCTGTTAATTAATAAAATGACCTTAACATGCTAACTATTTTTTTCTTTTGTACCAGGGATTGAATTCAGGGAACTCAACTACTAAGCCACATCCCCCTTTTTTTATTTTTTTTCAATTTTGAGATAGAGTCTTACTAGGTTGCTTACATTCTCGCTACATTGCTGAGGCTGGCTTTGAACTTGCAGTCCTCCTGTCCTAGCCTCCTGAGCTGCTGGGATTACAGGCATGCATCACCATGCCTAGCTAACACACTGATTTTTAATTTTAAACTTTTACTTAACTTTGGGTATGATTCTGAGCCAGTTTTTCTTAAGGAGATAATTGGGCTCTCATTGAATCATTATATTGCTTTCCGATGCCATGTAGAATGTGAATTCTGAATATTGTTTTCCTTTGCACAATTCATCGGATATTGATTTAGTTAAAACCTGAACGGGTATGTTGGGCCAGGGCAACTAGTAAAGCAATCAAAAGGCAGCTTGTTTTATTTTCTGCTAATTTTTTTACACTATCAGAGGGGATGCTTTTCTACTACCAGAGAATGTCAACTCATTAGGTCTAGCAAAGGCTTTGCTGTTTCTTGGGCAATGGAAGTCCTAAGATCACGTTAAGTTGTTGCGGCCAGGAGGGCTAGTCCTAGGTGTAAAAGGACTTCTGGGCTTGATAAAGCTTTCAATCTCTCCCCTTTACTGATTGGGGCCTGGGGAGGCTGAGATGTGTGGGTGAGAGAGATGTTGGCTTCTTTGATCTATTCCATTTCTCTTCTAATTCCTTCTATTTCCCACCCCTCTTTCCACCAGCTAGTCAGTTTCTGACCCTTCTAAAGGCAGCCTTGGGGCAAGAAGGAAAATGGGAAAAGGTCATTATTGATTGATCAGGCAACATCTTCCTGCTCTCTGAGCACAGCTCAGGCATCAAGATGTCATGTGTTCCTGGGATCTTCAGTAGCCCCTTGATGGGTGCTTCTCACTGCAATAGCCAGCTCGCAGTCATTCGGGGGTTTCCCCAGCTCTCTGGCTGGCTGCTTCCAGCCGTCTCATCAGCCCCTGTGTCACTGGCTGTCCTGTGCACATCGACTCACAGTGTGGACTTTCCCAGTTTCCTCCCAGGTGGACCCTTGGGCAGGACTTACAGTGGCTACAGCCCAGTTCCTCCCTGAGGCTCGTGTCTGGCCCATGGGCATTTTTTACACCTCTCATGGCAGGAAACCTAGGAGTGCCAGCAGCTCCCAGCTCATCAGCCTTTCCTGATCAATTCTCCTCCACCCACTGGATTTCCTGGGTCCAAGCCAGAACCCAGTCTACTCTGTCTCCCTCCTTTTGTCAAGGAACCTGGGCCCAAATCTCATGGGCCCAGAGAAAACCCTTTCCTGGATGGTGGAGGAGGAGGTAGCATCCCAGTGACCACAGCAATCACTGCAAAGAAATCCCATCACCAAATCCTTCCCCTCTCTATACCCCCTCCCTCTTTCTCTCCTTGATGTGGTTGAGCAGGCCAAAAGTCGTGGATCTAACTGGCTCACACATTCACATTCACAAAAGACTGTGGGATCTCACTTTGCATCTTAACCCTCATATATCTTGATGTCTAGGTAAAAGCTTACTTCTGCTACCTTGTGACAGGAGTCTGACATGAATGAGGACATCCTGTATTTTAGATGTGTCCCCTCTCTACCTAGTTGTTCTGTGTTTTGGGGGGTGAGCAGTTTCTCTTGCTGTTACACATTGGTCTTCGGAAGCCTGCACCATGATAGAGCTAGCATTTCTATCTCAGATGCACAGGCCTATTTTTATAAAGGGATACGAGAGTCGTACAACTAAGGAAAGCATGAGATGCAGTCCTAGTTCTGCCGTGGGTTAGCTGTCATCCCCATCTCTGTTCTCTGAGTCTCAGTTCCTTCAAAGACTTAGCTTATAAGGTGTCTCCAGGTCCTTCCTACTCCATGTGAGGACTGGGCAAGAACAGAGACCTGGACAGAGATCGGAGAAGTTAAAATTCCTGCCTCCTTGACGTGGCTAGGCAGTTTGGAGATCAGGGTACATGAACACAGGGCCTGTCTTCTGGGAGCTGTGAATGCTGGGCAAGGGTCACATGGCCCCCTTCCTCTCGCTCCCCCACTTCACCAGGCTCATCAATGAGAATGAGGTGAAACAGTGGCGTGACCAGGCTGAGAAGTTCCGGAAAGGTGAGAGGTTCTGCCCAAGCCTGCTGCGCTCCCCACCCCCAGCCCCACCTGGGACCCCATCTCCTGCCATGGAGAGGGCTGCAGACCCACACCCGCTCCTCCTCCTCCCTGGCCCCTCCCCCATGCCAGAACACATGGAGCTTGTGAGTCGGCTGGAGAGAAAGGAGAGGGAGTGTGAGACCAAGACGCTGGAGAAGGAAGAGATGATGCGGACGCTGAACAAGATGAAGGACAAGCTGGCCCGAGAGTCCCAGGAGCTGCGTCAGGCTAAGGGACAAGTGGCAGAGCTGGTCGCCCAACTCAGTGAGATCTCGGTATGTGGTCACTCTCTTCCCTTTGATGTGGCTCAGCTGAGACCCTAGGCTTTGGAACAGGGTGGGCAGAGTAGGCGTGGGGAGGAGCCAAGGCCCCCAAAATGAAGGAGAAAAGAAAGGGGGACCTCAGGTCAGGACCCAAAGGACCCCTGAGGCTGTATGTGTGCCACCTTATGTTCATTAGAAACACAATGCCCCTTGCTCTGGATGACATTATCCCAGGAAAGGCCCTTGGATAGGAAAGTGCGGGTGGGATATCTGCTCCCCCTTACCCTCGCAGCTGGATGTCCTTGTGCAGTCTGTAGCATGAACAACTGTATGCACCAACCCAGCTGCTTTATTGTGATGACTGTGACTGATTTTCCAGTGTCTGTTTGACTATGTGGGAGGTAAGAGCAGGATTTGGGGTCTAGGATAGATGGAAACTAAGTAAAGAAGGAAATGGTGGTGGGAACTGGTTGGCATCAATGCTGATGGCTTGAACCTTTTGATTTTTCTGTCTCCTTACAGACGGGCCCTGTATCTTCCCCCCCTCCCCCTGGAGGTCCACTTCCCTTGTCTTCGTCGGTGACAACCAACGACCTGCCTCCACCCCCACCTCCTCTCCCCTTTTCCTGTTGCCCCCCACCTCCACCCCCACCCCCACCACCTGGAGGGCCTCCCACACCCCCCGGCGCCCCACCTTGCTTCAGCATGGGCCTCCCCCTCCCTCAGGACCCCTTCCCCAGCAGTGATGTCCCACTCAGGAAAAAGCGTGTCCCCCAACCTTCCCACCCACTGAAGTCCTTCAACTGGGTCAAGCTGAATGAGGTGAGTGGCCAGGAAGGGGGCAGCTGGTCCATTCTCCTGCAGCCAGTGGAGGTCAGACCTCTGCATTGTCTCTTGCTTGACGTCTTCCCCAGGGTTGGGCCCCATCTTTGGTGGTGGGGGGATGGAGTCACAGTTGATGCAGATGAGAGGGTTGCTGCAGCCAGCAGCTCAGCAACCAGGTGCCCTGGGGAGAACGTCTGCATTGGGAGAGATGCTAGGCGTGGGCTCTGCCCATGTCAACAAAGCTACCTGGAAGAGGAGCTTGTGTGTGCTGAGGGCTGACAGAGTGGCGGAGAGCTCAGGGCCTGCGCCAGGCAGGCTGCTCTCTGGACACAACAGGGCTGGGCTAGAATTTCAAGGAGAGGGTTGATTTGAGGGAAAGGGTGGAAAATATAGGCAGAACTGGGGCTGAGGTCCAGATGTTGGTGAAGATCAGGGCAGTGTGTACAAAGGACTGAAGAGTTCAACGGGAAGATAGAGCCATTTTGGCCTCCTCCTGGGAGAGCTGCATACAGTGTTTACATTTCTAGAGCAACAGTGAGAGGCCCTCTAATAAATCACCAATAATCACTAATAATCACCAATCCCAGGCCCAGGGGTGGGAGTTGATTCTTCTATTGATTCACAAGCTTATAGATGCCCCGGGTCTCAGTGGACCCCTAATAATTGAACAATTTGGACAAAGTCCTCCCCCTGGTTCTTGAATAATGGCAAATCTTACTAAGAGAACCACTGGTTTGGTCCCCGGGGCAAATACACTCAGGGTAACTGGTTTCTGCTACCCTGGTCTTGCCGTGTAGGCACCAACTTGGGGCTGGGGTTCATGGATCTCCTTGGACTCTGTTATAGGGGCCTGTTGAACTAACTCACAGGGAATCCATAACTTAGCATTGTGTTGGAGTGTCAGTGAACTCAGATGGAGACTTAAGGCGGAGGAGAGATAAGTAGATAGAGATTTCTAAGCCAGGGGCCTGCTGTTGGTTAGATGGCCCTTCCTGATGGTGGACTAGCTGGCCAGCCAGGCTGAGGTCTGCTTTGCCTAGAACTTTCCACTGGGGATATGATAATGCTAAAGGTGAGAGATGGCACTGCCCCATGAGAGCTTAGAATCTGGCAAATTAGGAAGGTGGTCAGGAAACAGCTAGAGATCTTGACCACATGGGTCAGGGGAGAGGTTTGAACTTTGAACCAAACCCAGTTTGACTCAACTACCTGTCTACATCACTCATCTGTAACTCAGTTTCTTCTCTGCGAGGCCATCTCTACGATTCCTTCCACCTCTGGTCTTCTAAACTATGTGGAAACCCACAGCGTGGACACATCTCCCTTATAGTCTCCCAGGCCTCCGATCATATCCAAGTGGTTGGGTTTTAGAGTCACCTGTTAGCAGCATTTAAAAACAAGACTGTAAAAACTCAGGACAGCTGTACTGCACAGTTGTGGCCCGTGGATGCTTCTCCATGGCCAGAAAAGCAATGATAGCTCAGAAGGCAGAGGGCTCTCTAGACCCAAAGCCATTGCTATGTGGGAATGATCACGGTTCATGAGCAGACTCAACGTTTTTTATTGTGGCCAAGGAGAAATAATATTTTTGTCTCCCATGCTTACCAAAAATTTAAGGTTTTAAAAATGTCATTTTAAGTTCTCATGTGTGCTCATGGTTAAGGAATCCACACAAAGCAGCTGATTTTAGGGGAGGAACTTTTCACTGTTAGGGAGCTTTGGGCTTAGGATTTTCTCTGGGGTCCACTAATAGTAAAGGCCACATGAATTCCCTAGGGACCCAAAGCAGGCCAGAGCAGGCCAAAGCAGGCCAAAGCATCATTACCAGATGGGAAGGTGTCATTTTGATGGAGTGGATGCCTGGGAACATTCATGGGAATTGTAGACTTTCTTGGCAGAGCAGGGTAGAGGGGCATCGAGAAGTATTTGAGAACTTGCTATCCTGTCCCTAATTTTTTAATTGTGCAAAAAGGGCAGATTTTTTAATTGTTTGGGCTTCAGCTTCCCTATCAGTAAAATGGGGGTAATGCTGATATCCATTTCAAAAGGTGGTTGTGAGGATCACTTGAATTAATATATGTTAAAGACTCGAACAGAGACTTGACACATAGGAAGCCCTAATAATAATAATGTCAGATTAGTTATTAGTGGCACTGCCATGTGTGCCCTAAGTATGCTCTCACGATGACCCAGGGAGGTAGGCATCCTGAGACTCAGCTTCCTTTTGTGTGACGTGGGTAAGAAGAGAATCCCTCTGTGCCCACAGACCCACGTGGTGGCAGGGCTGGGGACGTCAGCCCGCCGGCTCAGCCTGTTCCCACAGGCAATGCTCTATGAGGAAGATGTGATGAAATGTGTTTCTGAGAAAGATAAAGGCTAACTGTAGAGGTCCAGAAGTCCCAGGAATCAAGACTAGAGATGATGGGGTCTTGGCCAGGGTGATGGAAAAACTAAATTTGGGAATTATGATACACGATGGGCACCTCGGGGTGACGCAATGACGGTTAGGTAGTGGAGAATATCAGGAACACACTGACCTCTCTCTGGCTCCAGACCTCAGGGAGACCTCCAGGAAGAGCCACAAATCCTTCTGGAAGATGTGAGGAAGCTGGGGTAGGGGGGCTGTGTTTGGAGAAAATGAGAGAGGGCCCAGGTGATCTGTCTGGTGCCTCACGGGAAGTTCTTCCCCATGTTCGACACCCAGCGCTCTGTTCTAGCCCTTTCTTCTTAACCTGACCTCATGAAGAATAAGGAGGATGGGAAGATTTAGCTCTGTGGGCCTCCCTCTCCCCACCTCCACCCCCAGGCCTGGATTTATGCGGTTTTCCTGTCAAGGCGACGATGCTGGGTCACTCAGCGCCCCACACTCCTGCAGCCAGCGCCCCTCCCTGCTTCTCTGATTCAGGTCCCCCTCCCATCTCTCTCTTCCTCCCACATCCCCTTGCCAGGAGCCCAGTCCCTCTCCCCAGTCTCCTTCCTCTACCCCACGCATGCTCCTGGGTATGTATGTACACACACACTCACTCTGGTCTTTTCTGCCATGAAAAGAATGCGTCTGTGTTGGGATTGGCCAGTTGCCTGTATTCCTTACTGCTCTGAGCTTCCCAGCCAGGCATTCCTCACGAGGGTCCCTGGCCTTCAGAAGGCCACAGGAATGTCCCCACCCCCTGACTCTAGCCTAGCCTCCCCCTTTCAGAGTTTAAGAAAATAAAAGTGAGTGAAAGGTACGCTTCTCTCTCCAAGCCTCGCTGAGGGGGACGAGGAGGAGTTATTCAGAAGGTCCCCTGGCTGCCCTCTAGGCAGAGGAGGCAGGAGGTTCTCTTTTCAAGGACAGCATGCTCTGGATGAGGTGAAGATTCCCAGGAGCCCAAGGGTGGAGCATACTGGTGGGGGAGGGTGCACCACACTCAAGTCCTCTTAGTCCATACTGCTGTCTCCTAAGCCATTAGCAGAGTGTCACGAGACTGCTGGACTGTTTCTGGCTTGGCTAACGGGTCCTTTCCAGACCCCAGTGCAAGGGTCCTACAGGGAGGGTGGTACTGTCTCAACTGAGAGACATTAGGACAGAAAGTTCTGGGCCCATCCCAGTCATTAAGGATGGGGACACCTTCCCTGGGTCTGACCACAGGAAGTTGTGGCAAAGCCTGGATGTTCTGAGCAGTCACTACAGGGGCCAGGGTGTCCCAACCTTTGGCATTCATCCACTTTTTGGTTATCTGGGAGAGGAGGAGGAAGACCTTGGGAAATGAAATAGCCAGCCATCTCAAACAGGAAATGCAGCCTGTGCAAAAGCTTTGAGGATCCCAAATCTGTGTGCACTCTGATCCTCCCAGGGATTCCAACCAGGGCGGGAGCAGCTTCTAGCCAACTCTGCCCTTCATGGAGAGTCGGCCCATGCAGGTGGGCGGTTCCTCTGCTTTCCTGTCTCCTACCCATCACTCAGTGCTTCCAGTGATTTCTGAGATGAGCTTACAGTGGCCCCCATGAAAGGGAAGAGAAGGAAGCTGTCTTGGGGCTCTACCCTGGAGCAGCATGTTAAAGAGGGGCAGAGGTTGGAGGGGTAGGAACTGACCCCTTTCTGAAAGTCTGAAAGCCTGGCCATTGTAGTAGGTGTCCCTAGGGGACAGATGCATTGGGCATCTTCCTGATGAAGGCGTTAGATCAATCATAGGTTTTTTTTTTTTTTTTTTTCCCCTGTCCTGAATCCTAGGAGCGTGTCCCTGGCACCATATGGAATGAGATTGATGACATGCAGGTATTTCAGATTCTGGACCTAGAGGATTTTGAAAAAATGTTTTCCGCCTATCAGAGGCACCAGGTAAGACCTTGCTCCCTCTGGCCTCTTGGGCCTTGACTTCTGGTCTTAATTCCACACTCCACACTCTTGGAAGTCAGACCCTCGCCTTCCTCTTACCATCCTGTCCCCTTCCTCTTTACCTCCCTCCCTCCATCCTCCCCTCCCCGATTGGTTTTTCCTTCTGCACATGAATTCTGAATGATTTTGTTCTTGATGAGATTCCATGTTTGTACTGAGGACCTAGATAAGAATGGGAGGTGTGTAGTCCAGCAAGGGAAATGCCACAATGTTTTAGTTACAGACCAAATGACGAAGTAGTATGATGCCATTTCTCATTGTCATCCTGGGGTACTGGAGGTAGAGTCCCAAGGCCTGGCCACCACTGACCCTTACTGTTTGGCCTGGGATTTGGAGACTAACCTAGAAGTTGTGTAACTTTCAAACCACTTTCCCAACCATGTTCTTATCTCCCAACACCCCCACCATGGTCTGTTGAGCAGAAGATGTTAACACTGCAAGGAAGGAGGGGTTCCGGGGGGTGCTGCTCTATGTCGCGTCAGGGGGCTTAAGCTGGACCAGGCCCTCAAAGGCCAGGAGAGGCCCTGGTCTGCTCCACTGGCTCTGTGTACACACAGCTGGACAGAGTCTGGCTCTAAAGCTACAAAGTTAGGGGAGTAGGTTGGTGGCCAAACACAGGGCATTCCTGAGGCATAGGCCTTCGACTGTGCTGGGCACCTGCGGAGAAGCCAGAAGTGCTGATTCTCAGACCCCATCCTCAAGTATCGAATGTACTTCATGACATGGGTGGAGGGTCAGGAGTCTGAGTATAACTAGCACATCTGGGGCCCTTCCCCATTAAGTCCAGTTTGAGAACACCCAGTCTGAGGCTGGAAGGCCCTTGCTTTCTCTCTGGCCTGCTCCCAGGGGCTGCCTCCTGCTGGGGTTGTGTTACCATCCTCCTGTTCTCTCTGCTCAGTCCAGGCTTCCAGACTGGAGGACTTCTAGTACCAGTGATGGGTCTTGGGCCTCCTGGGTCCTGGGCAGTGGCTAGATGCTATGACCTTGCTCCCACAGGTGTCCTACCCTGCTCGGGCCTGTGGATGACCCTTCCGGAGGGCAATCAGGGCCAAGGACATGTGTGACTGTTCTCCCTGGGCTCTGGTCAAAGAGGTGGGGGTGGTGTCAGGCTCAGGCCATCTTGGGATTCTAGAAAAAAACAAGTGACTGTTTATTTAGTTGTAGGTACCAAGGCATTTGAAGGTCCACTCCTAATTCCAGGAGCCAATATCTGGGTCAGGCTGGCATGCCCACTGGGAGTGGCCAGGGCTGTGGGGACTAAAGGAGCCCTGCTGAGCATGGTGCTCGTGGGAACTGGAGCTCCCTGGTGGGTTCTGGGGACAGAGGGAGTGTGCAGGAATGGGTGGGAGTCAGGTGTGATCATCACTCACCTCCCCTAGTTTGAGAGTCTTCCTTCAGGTCAGAGTTCTGGCCTGGCCTGGCCAGTCTCCAAGGCTCTGTGGTGGCTGGGCTGGGGACCAGTCAGAAGAGTTGGTGTGAGGTTTAGGACAAGCTGGGTGTAGGGCCTTCTGGTTTGATGAGTTGAGCAGGAGTTAAGACTGAAAGACCCTCGTCCTGCCTCACCCCTCGGAGCCCAGTCAGTGCAGCCCTGATCCGGGGCTGGGTTCAGCCAGAATACTGTCACTCAGGAGCAGCCCAGTCTCTGTAACTGAAATGACAGCAGCCAAACTGGGGTGACCTCAGGGTCTGTGTTTCCCTTGTCACCTCCTCTTCCTGTCTCCAGGTCCTGGATGGTGGGTGGTGGGCCAGGGGAGGTCCTGGGAGCCATGGCCTTCCCTCTGTGTCCTGGGCAGGTTCTGAGTTGGTAGCTTCAACTCCATCAGGGTCAGGAAGGGAGGACACAGATGCAGCTGTGCCTTCTTGGTTCCCTTAGACACTGAAGGATAAAGGGCAAGGAGCAAGCTAGGGAGACCTGCCCCCCTGCCCTGATGCACACAGCTTCCACAAGCTCCGTTTCAAGTTCTCACCTATGATGAGAAAGAGGAGCTCATGCCAGGTGGAGAGATGCCCTCTGCCCTCTGGGCAGATTCTCAGCAGAGGAGAGGGAAGAGTGGGTGTCAAGGCCTGGGCTGGGGGAGCTCAGCTTGCTCCCCTGATGGAGGATCAGCTGGGCCCAGAGCATGGGGAGGAGCTGCCTGATCTCTGCATGTCTGGCTTCTCTGTGGTGCATGTCCAGGGATACTTCTGGGTTCCTGTTTCCAATCATGGGGGTCTCCAGGGGACAAGTGGATAGTGTAGATGCTGAGGGTGCCCATGTCTGTCCTGCTGCTCCAGGTCCCCAAAACTTTTGACTAACGTTGTGCATGTTTAATTCTCTGTTGGCTGTGGCTGCTGCCTACCTAGGAGCTGATAACTAATCCTCCTCAGCAGGTGAGTCACTCTCAGGGCTCTCATCATTTCAGGTGATGAGCCCACTCTCCTGGGCTGATGCCCTGAAGTGGGCCCAAAACAAGGGTTTGCCCATTTCACCTCCTACCTTCTTACTCATCTGTGGACATCCAGATAGGGGGGCATGCAGGAGGGCCCCCAAAGAGAAAAAAGAAACCTAGGAAAGGGAGGGTGGTGCAGAAGACCTCCGCCAGCAATGGGGGCTGTTTAGGGAGAAAGGAGAAAGCTTCTCGGTCTGCGTCTCTCCTGCCAGGCCCACGGCGAGGCTTTCCTGAAGGTCTGCCTAGGTGGGCACTGCCAACTCCAGGGGCCTAACTTCCAAAGATAAACATGCGAGTAGCGGCCCCTGGAGCTGGGCACCATGGAGCCACACAGGTTCTGTGGAGGAAGTCTCCAGAGTAGGCAGAGTCCACCCGAGAGCCTCACCATCTCCCTCTCCAAGGCCCAAGGCAAGAAGGGGTAGAATCTTTGAGTTCTTGAGAATCTGCTGGAACCCCAGAGGGGAGAATTCTGCTTGGAATTTTGCCCCAGTTTCTGCACCCACCACATGGATGCCCTTTGCCCTGGGCATGTTGGGCATCACCTGAAATCCCTGGGAGTTGGAGGCCGTGGCCTTATGGGGCTTGGACCAACGTCTCATGATCAGCTTGGGGGGGTTGTCTGAGAGGAGGGCATGATGAGTGGGGCTTGATCCTGTGGGGGACATGGTAGGTCATGTCACATTACCTAAAGTCACAGGGATCAGTCAGACCTCTCCCCATTAGAACAGCCCCTTCCACAGGTTACTCAGGGAGGATAATGTCTAAAAGGGTGGTCTTCACTCTCTCCACCAATGCTTTCTAGCTTGTGGTAAAATCCCAGATCCTTCCTGTGAGAGCTAGTTATTCAACACTGTCCTCTTCTCCATCTTCTTCTTTCCTCCTTCCTCCCCCTTCTATTCTAAGTATCCCCAGGTTGGTAGGAGGGTGGCTCCTGGCGGGTGGTCAAGAAGACGACTGGGGAAGGCATACATCTCAATGCTTCCCCTGGACTCATTGCAGAAGGAGTTGGGCTCCACAGAGGACATCTACCTGGCCTCCCGCAAGGTCAAAGAGCTGTCAGTCATTGATGGCCGGAGGGCGCAGAACTGTATCATTCTTCTCTCCAAGTACGTGCTAGCCCTGTCCCTAAGGCCCCTCCAAGAGAGGTTCTGCTGGGAAAGAGTGGGCCCTCCAGGGAGCACGGTCCAAGATGGGGCTAAGGCAGAAGGAAGTTGCGCTGAGTGTCTAACAAGAGGGGTGGCAGAGGAATGGGGTGATGGCATCTCTGGCCTCCTCCTTTGCTGTCCCTTGGGAAGGGAATGGACACTGATCTTGAGTCCTCTCCTGGGAGTCCCTCGTTAAGCAGCAGCCTGGGGCTGTGCAAACAGGAAACTGCCCCAGTCACCAGGCCCCTGACCAGCCTGGTCAGCGTCTGGCAGCTGAGCTGCTCTAAGCCCGTGGAGGGCCCCACTCAGCTCAGGCCACAGAGCAGCATGATCTCAGCCCCTAGGCATTTCCCGCTCCCGCAGAACAAACAGGGCAGTATCTGCACTAACAGCACAGCTTCTGTGCGGGGTCTCCCCCCAGTCAGGGTCAGGGGCACCGCCTCCCGTACTATTCTTAGTGTTGCCCCCAGTTGCCTCTGGGACATCTGCTCCTCTGTGCTCCCACAAGGCCCCAAGCCTCAGTTTCTTTCATTTGATGGTGGGATGTGCTGGATCTCTGGGGCTCCCGTGGGTGTGGGTGTGCATATGGAGGGGCTGGGGAAGGCTGTCAGGCGTGTAGGGGGCTGGCTTCTCCCTGTCCCAGACGGCAAGACCGATTGGAGCAGCTGTGTGGGAGCCAGGAACTGTCAGGGACCGAGAGCAACTCTGTCTCCTGAGAATGAAAGGGGGAGGAAACTCCCCTCAGAAGGCCTGTCCTCCCATGGCGGTGCTATAGATCTTTAGGCATGAGGAGGAGTCTGCACTGGTGATGTCCCTTCTACACCCAAATGCCCCTAGCAGCTCTGACAAAGCCTCAAGCAAGACACCAGTGGCTCAAGTCTCCACTGAGACACTAAAATACTTGTTTTCAAGTAGATGGGATGACTCATATTAGTTTAGTCTAATAAGGCGTGGACAGAGCGCCATCAGCATACTCCCAAGTCCACGTTCAGGACAGATAAGAGGCTGAGACTGTGTCATCTGGAGAAGGAGGTTTGGGGGTGTCTTAGCTGAGGGGCCAGACCGGGCTGCTCAGTGGTGGGCTTTGTCTCAGGTTGAAGCTTTCTAACGAGGAGATCCGGCAGGCCATTTTGAAGATGGATGAGCAGGAGGACCTTGCTAAGGACATGCTGGAGCAGGTGAGGAACCTCATGGGAAGGAAGAGAGCTGAACCTGGGGATAGCCAGCCCCACCCCTTCCCCACGGCCCCCAGAGAGGCTGAGACTCTTGGGGCAAGGAGAAGGCAGGCTGGAGTAGTTGGGGAAAAGGTTTCTAGAAACTTCCCTGGACTAACCTTTCTGGGGGAAGGGTGGAAAAGGCTGCCAGAGATCCTTGAGGCCTCTGGAAGGAGGTATGAGGTCTCAAAGCAAACTCAAGGTGAACAGTGGTCACATCTTCCCAAATCTCTTCTACCTCAATTTGCTGTGTCCTTTAAGAGAAACCTAGAAAACAATTGGACTTCATTAAAATTAAGAGCCACCATCTATCAAAGGCACTGTTACTAGAATGAAAAGACAAGCCAAGAAGAAGTTTATTGCCGTACACATGTGTGTACACACACACACACACACACCCCTACACATCAATGAAAAAATGGCAAACACATCAACTTTTAAAAATAAGCAAAAGACTTGATGAAGCACTTAATGAAAGGATTTCCAAGTGGCCAGCGAACTTGTGAAAAGGTACACAGTGCTATTGGCCATTAGAGAGACCAGGAGCCACAGGAGTAGCTAATACACACCCCAGTAGCTAAAATTAGGAAGATGGACAGTACCAGGTGCTGTGAGGACATGAAACCATTGAGATTCTCAGGCGGTGCATGTGGAGGCTAAACACCTGCCTACCCTCTGCCCACTAACCCCGCACTTCAGTGTAGGCGCAAGAGGAACTGGTACCAATACTGACTAAAATACATACACCAGAATATTTATAGCAACTTTATTTATAAAGCCCCCAAGGTGTGAACAACTGTCCATTGATAGGAAAGTTGTTATAAATAAATAGAATAAATAGTCTGGTATTAGCAATAAATAAGTACCAAATTACCAATACACAGTAAGGATGAATCTTAGACTTTATGTTGAACAAAACAAAACAAAACACCATATAGCATCATAGCCCATTTTCTGGGCTATAACAAAATATGTGAAACTGACTAATTTATAAATAATAGAAGTTTATCTATTTAGCTCATAGTTCTGGAGGCTGGAAATCTGCTTGGCATCTGGTGGGGACCTCGTGCCACAGCATAGCAAGGTGGAAGGCATCCCGTGATGGGACAGAGCAAGTATGCTTCTTGGGTCCCTTTTCCTCTTATGATAAAGCCACTCATACCATTATGGACGCCCCACCCTAGTGATCTCATCTAATCCTACTTTCCTCCCAAAGGCCCATCTCTGAATATCATTCACATGTGATTTGGGGATTAAATTTCGAACACGTGACATTTGGGGGCCATGTTAATCCATAGCACACAGAATGAGGTCGTTTATACAGTGTTTAAGGTGATACAATTCAGCTGAGCTGTATTAGGGGGCTTTCTGAAATGAAGCAAGGGAACTCTCTAAGGGGAAGGAAATATTTTTTACTTTATTCTTACTGTACAGTGAAAGGTCTTGACAAAACCCAATGAACTGCACATTTAAAATGGGTACATTTTATTTCATGGAGATTATAGCGCAATAAAGTTTGCTCAAAAAGAAAAATCATCCAGCTGTGTGGAATTACTGATTTTAAGTAATTTCTTAATTTTAATTCAGAATAATGTACGTCACTGTATGTAAGCTATATCTGTTTTAAAAGGCGAAAAGAAAAAAGAAAGAGGTGCCATCCTCTCAGCACTGGTCCACACGAGAGCACCTGTCTCTGAGCCTTCCTCGTCGGGTGCACCCATCCGAGCACCTGGGCTTCTCATGCTCTGCACCCCCCGCCCCCCCCAGCTGCTCACCAGGTTCTTGTCTGACTTGCCCCTGCTCTTTGCAGCTCCTCAAGTTCATCCCGGAGAAGAGTGACGTTGACCTCCTGGAGGAGCACAAACACGAGCTGGAGCGCATGGCCCGCGCCGACCGCTTCCTCTATGAGATGAGCAGGTTGGGGAAACGGGAAGGAGGTGGCGGGCCCAAGAGGGGGCCAGAGCTGGCTCCTGGGGCTGGGGCTGGTGGCGGTGGCCTTCTGATGTAGCTCACTCTGTCCACAGGATCGACCACTACCAGCAGCGACTGCAGGCCCTCTTCTTTAAGAAGAAGTTCCAGGACCGACTGACTGAGGCCAAGCCCAAAGTTGAAGGTATGGCTGAGGGCTGGGGGAGGGCTGGGATGGACAGGCATCTGGGAACCCATGAATGGGGCAGAGGGAAGCTCCTTCCTTATTCTTAACCCAAAAGGGAAAAAGAAAGGCAAACAAAATTTAAACTGTGATGTTGTAGAAAAATGTGCTTATTTGTATTAATCTCTGTGCCGACCATGTGACACATTTCTGTGTCTCAGCATGCAAACTCTCTGCCCTGGAGAGCATCCTGTCCCACTGTGGAACAGAAACAAGGAGAAGATAATAGCTGCACCTAGAACAGCACCTGGTGCACATTGAGCTCATCTGTTTTGCTCACCTGAGAGGTGCTAAGTTCATAGAATACCTCTGGGCACATTAATTCATGTTTGAGCTACTAAGAAGTAAAAAACTACATACGGTGATTCATGGAGGTATCTGATTTTCTGAGGCAGGAAAACCCCTTCAAAACAGGCCATTTCAGATGGGAAATCCTTAATCTCTGCCTGGTATGGTGGTGCACAACTGTAATCCTAGCTACCCAGGAGGCTGAGGCAGGAGGATTGCAAGTTCAAGGGCAGTTTCTACAATGCACTGAGACTCTGTCTCAAAATAAAGAGGGCTAGGGTACAGCTTAGTGGTGGAGTGCCCACTGGGCTCAGTCACCAGTACCACAAAACAAAAACAAAAACTGAAAACCAACAAGAATTATGATTTCTGACAACCATGTACCAAGCATTATGCAAAAAGAAAAAGGTGTCATTTGGTCCTTATAACAGTCCCATGTGTGAGTGCTATCGTCACCCTCTATGTGCCTCCTTTCTCATCTCTGAAGTAGGACTGTGGTAGTTGCCTGGTGACTCTGGCAGTTGTCACTGGTGGGTGGTGGAGCCAGGGTAAGGATGCACTTGCTGTCTTCCTAACCCACGCCTTTCCCCTGGTCCAGTGACTGTCCACAGGACATCTTCCTGGGGATGCCTGTTGGGATGGCAGAGGAGGGAGGAGCAGAGAGTTGCAGAAAAGGCAGGAGGGCAGGATGGGGACAAAGGCTGGGAAGCCCAGCAGAGGGGAACAAGAGAGCCTGTGTCCCAGATGCTGAGGGTGCAGGGCTTGGGGCAGAGCAGAGCATGGGCCCCCCCTGCTGGACGCCAGGGTCAGTCAGCCCTCCCTGGCAGTCAGTCTAGGGAGTGGACCTTGGTGGAGTCCAGTGGGCGGCTTCCAGGAGGCTTCTGGGGAAGGATGGAGCATGGAGAGCTAAAGGCAGACACTTTCTGTAACCTGAACCCTGTCCCCCGTCATACCATCCTCAGGCAGTGAGGGACCTGCAGGTGTGTTTAGAGATAATGGGTCTGAGAGAGAAGGAAAAACTCAGGAGTGACTCTCCATCCCTAAGCTCTGGTGGTATCTCCTCGCCCTCTGACCAGGGTGATTCCTTATCTTCATCTCCTGCCATACACAGCCTTTGGGGCACGAGGCACAGATAAGGCGTTCAGCCCAAGATGTGTGCGCTCAACAGTTAGTGTGTCCTGGCTCATTGGAGCAAATGGGAGCAACTGCCATTGGAGCTTCAGAAGCAGAACAGCTTAGCCATGGGGTAGGATCAGTTCCAGCTTCCCATTCCTGCTCCTAAGTGCTTCCTGATAGTCTGGGGATGTTCTGGAAGGTCTCCCTTTAATATCAAGCTTCATAGAGCAAGATGAGTTTGGAAGACAAAAGTGCTGGGAAAGTCACTCTCCAAAAGCTGTGCTGCCTAAGACTCGCTCTGCTGGAGGACGTCTGAGGGCGAGGTAGAGAGGGCTGGGTTGGCTATTATAGAATCAGATCCTGTGCTTGATTCCGGGTAGAGAATTATGCAGCAGCTGAGTCACACTCTCCTTTCCAGTTCTTCCAGGAAATATTCCCGGAGGATCCAAGATGGAGCCTATCCTAGCTGGGTCCCGGGCCAGTGACAGCCATCCTCTCATCCTCCAGCAGGGACTCTGGGTCAACTTACCTAAAGCCAATGCACCAACTTGGACAAATTTGCCCGTTCTATGAATATATTCATGAACATATCCTGAAATATATTCCTATGAACACGTTCATTGCTGAGTATACCAAATTTACTGATTCTTATTATGTATTATTATGAATACATCCTCTGAATACAGTCAAGATGAATATGGTTGCAAATGTAATATTCTTATGAATATATTCATGAATATATTCTTCTTGAGTGTATCTCAAATGTCAGGACTGCATAGGGGAGTTTTCCCATTGACACTGATTTCCTTTGAACCCCTGTCATTTTCTGTTTGGCCGACATTTTAGCATTTTTTTAGGATCCCTTTGCAGATTTTTCAAATAGCATATCAACCTTAGAAAAATTATCCCAAGGAATATAAATTGCCAGAAACTTTTAGAACTATTTTTTTCCAAATGAACTTTTTATTGAAATAGGACAAAGCACAGAGGAGAGACCCACTTGATGAATTGTTATAAAGTGAACTCCATATACTCACACCTGCTCAGACCTGGAAGGTTTCCAGACCCCCAGACTCCTCTGTGCATCTTTCTCCTAAATGTTGCCCCCTTCCAACTATTAAGGCCTCCCTCTTCTCCAAAGAGACTTTTAGTAATTTTTTTGTTATGAAATTTACATAAGTGGAGTTATAGGTTCTGAATAATTTCATGCTGGCTTATTTTGCTCAACATTATGGCAGAACTTAAAATTTTTAAGTGCTAGGTTTAGGAAGGAAAAGTATCATATTCATAGAAAGGACATAATAATCATTTTATGCATGAAAAGGTTTTTTCAAGTATGTTCTTGGGAAAAGTATTGGTGCTGTCCGAGAAGACTGGTGCCTTGGTCTTGGTGAGTTCGTCTGTGTCCGTGGAGCTGGAAACTTGGAGATGAGAAGTGGGAAAGCCTCTGGCCCACAAGAGTTGACATTGGACAGTGGCTCTCTGAACTCTATCGTGGCATCTTCTTGGGGTGTAAGGGGAGCAGCTGCCCTGCTCAGGCTCTGACCTGTCCCCCCTTTCCCAGCCATCCTGCTGGCCTCCCGGGAGCTGACTCGCAGCAAGCGTCTGAAGCAGATGTTAGAGGTTGTCCTGGCCATTGGCAACTTCATGAACAAGGGGCAGCGCGGGGGCGCCTATGGGTTTCGGGTGGCCAGCCTCAACAAGATTGCTGACACCAAGTCCAGCATTGACAGGTGGGGACCTGTTTGCCTCCTTAGCCTCCAACTCACCTCACCCTTGACCTCTCTCCCCAAGACTCCCTGCCTGTTTCCCTTTGCCTTCTACCTGGGTCTCCTCCTGACCCTCATTCTGCTTCCTGGTCCCTCACCCCTGACCTGTCATCCACAGAAACATCTCTCTGCTCCATTACCTGATCATGATTCTGGAGAAGCATTTCCCTGACATCCTAAACATGCCTTCGGAACTGCAGCATCTTCCAGAAGCCGCCAAAGTCAAGTGAGGGGTCCCTCTAAGATGTCCTTATCCCCATGATGACATGCACCTTGGGCTAACTAGGAGTGGGCAGCAATCCAGGGGCTGCTTTTGGGAGAACCAGACAGTTTGCTCTTAGATCCTTATTTCAGTGATGCTTCCAGAAAATACCAAAAGAGGAGTGGGGAAGTAAGCTAGGAAGAAACGGAATGCCCAAAACAGGGACCTTGGTAAGCCAGTTACCACAGTAGGAAAGTGGCACCAAGCCCCACTAGGCGACTCCAGGAGGTTGGATATCCCACCCACGGGGTAAGGGCGCTGGGGCAGTCACACAGTATCCTGTGTCATTTATTGGCTGAGGGCATCTCAGGAGGCTAGAACTCTCTGATCATGGGTACAGGTTGAGGAGGCTACCCCAGAAAAAGTGCTCACCCAGCTGGAAGAGTTGGGGCCATGTTAATGGATGGATGGAGGACACAGCATGGGGCATCAACAGCCTCTGCTACCGAAATCAGACCTGAACCCAAGGGCTGATAGAAACCATCTCCAGTGGAACCCGAAATGTAAATGGCTAATAGGTATCCAATGCTTGCTGCATACAAAGTATCCTGTGTCTTCCTTCTGTTGCTATCACATAATACCCGAGACTGGGTAATTTATAAAAAATAGTTCATTTGACTTACAATTCTGGAGGCTGGGCTGTCCAAGAGCATGGCCTCAGGGTCTGCTTAGCATCTGGTGTATCATCACATGGCAGATGACATAATACTGCAAGACAGCAAGTGTTATTGCTAGCTTGGGTCTCTTGTCCTTATAAAGCCACTGATAACATCATGGGGGTCCTTACCCTTATGACCTCATCTAATCCTGATTATCTCTCATCAGCCCTAATTCCAGATGCCATTAATATAACTTTATACAGGAACTTTTGGGGACACATTCAAGCCACAGAATCCTGTTAAGAGCTAATAAGCAGTACCTGATACTAATAAAAAATAGAAGTCTGAGCCAGAGAGCATGCGTTAGAAAATATGGAGCATGGTATTTCTGATCCAAAAGGGTCTATGCAACAGAACTCTATGCACCAGCAGGCAGAAGGAAAGTGATTTTTCTAGGGCCACCTGTTAGTAGCCTAAGCAGAGCTGAGACTGAGGTCCACAGACCCCCAGGCCACTGTGCTTAGTGCTGCTGTCCATCTGAACCAGCCTCAGGTCCTCCTCCACCATGCAGAGCTAGTGACCTCCTCTCCCTCCTGTCTCTCCACAGCCTGGCGGAGCTGGAGAAGGAGGTTAGCAACCTGAGGAGGGGCCTGAGAGCTGTCGAGGTGGTGAGTACGTCATCAAGCATGCCTGGGCTTGAGGGGATGCTGTTAGAGAAACAGCTGCCCATGCTGTCCACTCTGGATCGACAGTAGACCCCAGCCTGAGGCACTTCTGTGACCTAAAGCTCCTGGCTGAGGTCCAGCAATTGGCACAGTGAACACAGCCCTTAGAAAAAGATGATTGAATTATCTGGGGTTTAGGTTTCGGCCCCCACAGAGGGGACAACTGAAGTTGTTTCTATATTCCTGTCCAACATGATGTTCATATGGAAGGGGATGGAGTGAACTATAAATCTGCCATGTTGTAGTTCAATTCAAGTGGATAGGAAAGCGGAGAACTGGCTAGGAATAAGGGTCATGCAGGGTTGCAGAGAGGTCTGCTGGCCCCAGAAAATTCTTCCTCATGTCTCTTCACCCCACTGGGTCAGTGGGGGACCCACTGATGTCCTTGCTGGAGGCTCAGGTGTCCTGGTCCATTTAGGATGCCATGAACAGAGTCGCTTATAAATAAGAGAAATGGCTCCCAGATCTGAAGTCCAGGAAGTGTAAGATCGAGTTGCCAGCTGATTCAGTGTCTGGTGAGGGCTTGTTCCTCAGAGATGGCACCTTCTTGCTGTACCCTCACATGGTGGGAAGGACAAATGGGCTCCTGTGGGTCTTTATTATAAGGGTATTCATCCCATTCACATAGACTCTGCCCTCATGAACCACCACAGCTCAAAGACTCCATCTTTCTAATACCACCCTGTTGGGAGAGCAGAATTTCAACCCATGAATTTGGAGGAAACACACAGACCATAGCACCCGTCTTTGGCCTTTCTCATTCTTGCTCTGATGCTTCTCAGCTAATACCATCTCTGGCTCTAGGCAAGGCAGGCCCAGTATTGGGATGTCCTCAACCTCTTGCCCCTTACCCCTCCAAAACCTTTCCCCTCTTCCTTGTAGGGAAAGGGAAAGTGTGAGTGGGAAATGGACTTCAAGAAAGAAGTGACATCAAGTATAAGAAATAACCTTTTGCCACATTGCGGCAAGGGGTGATTTCCAAACATCCAACTTGTTAGTGTGGTCCATGGACCAGGAGCATGTGCACCAGTTAGGAGCTTTAGAAAACATATATTTTAAATCTTCACATGACTCCCTGGGGGTCTTGTTACAATGTAGATTCTCACCCAATAGGTCTGGGGTGGGCCTGAGTCTATGCATTTATTAAGATTTCCCAGGTGATGCTACTGGTCCCAGAACACATTCTGTGCAGCAAGGCTCTTGAAAAAGAAAGATGACATTGGTAGGTGAGGGCATAGAGGTGGGTGAAGTGGTGGATAACTCTTATTCTGTACTACCCTGAGGACTGTGAACTCTAGGTGTTCCCTCTTCCAAAGGGAGGCTCAATGTCCCATGAGTGGCAAATGGGGGTGGTGATGATCCCTGAATTCCTGATTCGGAATCACTCTTCCTTCTCAGGAGCTGGAGTATCAGAGACGCCAGGTGCGGGAGCCCAATGACAAGTTTGTCCCAGTCATGAGCGACTTCATCACAGTATCCAGCTTCAGCTTCTCAGAGCTGGAAGACCAACTGAATGAAGCCAGGGACAAGGTAAGGGTGTCCCAAGTGCCCCTTGACCCCAGCCGGACCCTGAGCTCCACTGTTCTTCATCTCAGCTGTGTCTAGCAGAGCTCCTTCACCCCTGCCTCCCACAGACAGCCCAGGGGGAACAACCCCAGAGCCACAGAGCTTTGAGGAGGAACTGTCCCCTCACTCCTGCAGGATGAGTGAGCATATTGTACCCATATGGATAACCACATACTGCAAAGAACACAGTCCGCTTATCAGGGTTCAGGTACCACCCTCCTTACAGGTTCGCTAAGGTTTCACAAGCCCACTCAACAAATAGGACATGGAGGCGACATGCCCATGATGGCCAGCTATGAGTGATGGAATCGGCTGAGGAGCCTAACTCTGCATTGCAGCTTTGGACTTGATTGCTTTGCTTTTCCCAGCCGCTTAGGCTGATCTGCACATAGGCCCCGCATGTGGGGGCTTTTGTAAACTGGATTCTTATTCAGGAGGCTTGGTGTGGGGCCTGAGACTCGGCATTCCTAACCAGCATCCAAGAAGTGCAGAGGCTGCTGGCCCAGGGAGAACGCTGAGTTTCGAGGTGTTCCTTAGAGGCTGTTGCTTGGGTTGAACTAGAGATGGAAGCTTTCAGTCCAAACAGGGCCGGACACGTGTAACTATTCCCTTGCATCTATTCTCATTTACTCCCACAATAGCACTACAGATTCTGTTATTTCCATCTTACAGATGAGGAAGTTGAGGCACAGAAGAGTTTAATAAGTAACCCAATAACTAAATGATCTCAGGTTCAGTCTGACTGGGCAGTTCCTGACCTCAGAAAGGGCTTCCCAAGGTCTACACTTCATGACCTGGACCTTCGCCACAGCAGACCCAGAGGTGTCCTTGAGGTGGCCTGACAGTCAGTCCAAATCCCACCTCCCCAGGTGTGGGCCTCAAGCTTTTCCTTAGCTTTGTCCTTATGCATATGATAATGGGGTCTCCCCACTTCCTATAGTCCTGGGCTTTGGACTGGGCCGTGTTCTGGCTGGAGCCCAGCTAACCACAGAGCTGAGCCCCCTTGCTTGATGACTCTCCACCAACCTGTTCCCTCCCTGCACAGTTTGCCAAGGCACTGATGCACTTCGGGGAACATGACAGCAAGATGCAGCCCGACGAGTTCTTTGGCATCTTTGACACCTTCCTGCAGTCCTTCTCAGAGGCCCGGCAGGACTTGGAGGCCATGAGGAGGAGGAAAGAGGAGGAGGAACGGCGGGCACGCATGGAAGCCATGGTGAGGTTGGGCCTGGGGCAGGATAAGGGCAGAGGGGAGGGCCTGAGCGGAAGGTCAGGGCAGGGAGCCACTTGGGGGGAGGGTCAGGGCAGGGAGCCACTTGAGGGTAGAATTGTTGGGCTGAGGGGGAAGGGACTGGGGCACACTGGAGGTGCCAATGCCCATCCTGAAAGACAGCAGTGAGAGGTGAGAGGTTGGGGCATCCTGAGAAGTAAGGTGGGGGTGTAAGTGAAGCACCCCAGTCCAGGGGTGGGCCCCCAGCTGTCAGGCCATCGGTGCAGCAAGGGGACTGTGCAGCTGCCCTGCCTTGGCCCCTGTCCCTGAGGGGGCTCCAGCTTCTCGACCCCCACCCCCAGCTGAAGGAGCAGCGGGAGCGGGAGCGGTGGCAACGGCAGCGGAAGGTCCTGGCGAGCAGCACCCTGGAGGAGGGAGGAGAGTTCGACGACCTGGTGTCGGCCCTGCGCTCTGGAGAGGTGTTCGACAAGGACTTGAGCAAGCTCAAGCGCAGCCGCAAGCGTTCAGGGAGCCAGGCCCCAGAAGCCACCCGTGAAAGGGCCATTAACAGGCTAAATTACTGACCTGGGGAATGGCCATGTGGGCAGCCAGGAGACAGGGACAGCTGAGAGGGGCTGAGTGGAGGAGGAGGAATTCGAGCCCCAGGCTGGGCCCTGGGTAAGGCTGGGTGGGGTTGGTCCAGGTGTCTCCTCACACTTACCTTAAGGGACTCTGCTCACCTCCTCCACATTGATCGTTCTGATCCTAGCTCCTGGGGGGAGCCTCTGGGGTTGGCTTGGATATCCCTGGCAGGTCCTGGCCAGGCAATCTCAGACTGAGGGGCCCTGTTCCTGCTCCCCGCCCTGGGCAAACCCACGTTAGCACAGAACTGTTCCAAGTCTAGACTGGAGAGGTCCATGGACCTTGTCCCAATCTGATCTCCTGTGCAGTGGGGAGTAATGGTGGTTGGGCCTCTGAAAGCCAGGGGGAGGGAATCCAGGCTTCTATCGCTGAAGAGGAGGCTCAGTGGAACATGAATCTGGGAGCAAACTTTTTTCTTGGCTGGAAACCGAAGAGGCCTTATATAAGATGAAGGTGATGTACGGACCAAAGTCAGCAGGACAGAGTAGCAGTGCCTGTTTCCCACAGTGTCAGTCCTTTGGTCCCTCTCCCTTCCCTATCCCCATGTCCATCCTATCTACTAATCTGCAATCCAGCAAATGTACCCCGGGGTTCCCAGGACTATGACTCACTACGAGGTGCTTGACAAGTCTGGTGAGGGAGGGAGTAAAAGATGACTTCATGTGTCCTCACACTTCATGTCTTGGGCAAGGGATCCTGTGACAACTCCCTATTGTCCTGAAGTGAGGGTGACCGCACATGTTGCTAGAGTTCCTGGGAGCCCCTCACCAGAGGGTGACACTTGAAAGCCTAGTTCCATGTAACAGTTCCCTGGGCTCCACACCTTTTGAACACCTACCTGCCCCAGGGCAGAAGTCACAGAGGCCTCCCGCCTGTCCAGGCTGCAGATTTCTTGGAACCATGAAAAGTTGGCTGAGGCTGGCCCTGGGAAGTTGGTTCCTGAGGGCCAAAGCTACCCTCTGCATTTACAGTCACCTCTAAGGATGGTCCCCCTGGAGGCATTCAAAGTCGGGGCTAAGAGGACAGGCAGGGAACACTGGGGAGATGGGGAGACAAGGCCACTGACTTCCTTGCTGAGCACAGTGCTTGAAGAAGCCCAGGGAGGACAGCTGTGAGAAGGCGCCCACTTCCACCTCTGGTGGTCAGTTTGGTTCTTGCAAAGGGGCCCATACTGGTCCTCCTGTCCACCACCTTCATTTTGTCCATACTGAGTTGTGCTTGGCAGGTCAGCAGAACAGCTGTATCTGGACAGGTTTTCTTTCTTCCAAACGGAGGAGGGTGAGATCAGCTCCATCAAGGCCTGTATTTTCTATACACATACCTTCAGGCTAGCCCTGCCTGATCTGCACCATCAGCTGGCTCCTGGTCCCTTCCCTTTATAGTTCTCATCTTCCAATCCCATCTTCCTGGCTCAGGGTCGTTGCCAGTGGACAGAGTGGTGGGCTGGGCTCATTTTTGAGCTGCCCATCTTGGGTCTTTTCCCTATATCAGATTCCTGGGGTGGGATCATAGTAGCTGTGGGGGAAGAAACACAGGGTCAGTGAGGCCAGCATGTGAGTTGGTTTGAGGAGGAGGTTATTAGTGTTTTGGTGGGAGGGATCCGAGCAAGTGCAAGCTTGGTCAGCATAGGTGTGAAGAGGCCATCCTGGGACCTAGGAGAGGATTAGGCAAAGGCTTAGGCTTCTAAGAAGAGCAGTTGCTGAGAGCTTTGTTACCTCCATCTGTACCCCAAGAACCTCTGCTGCAAGCAGTGGGCTCTGGGAGGATGGGGGTTCATGATGGGGTTTCCTAAGGTCCTCTCCCAAACTGACTGGGCTGAGTCAGCCAGGGGCAGCGAAAGGGGAGGGCTCTACTTCTGTCCAACCAGCACCATCCAAATCTTGGCATTCCCAACTACCATGGAAGCCCAGATATGCACCAGCAAAGACATGGAATATGGAAGCTGTTCAAGACACACTCAATTCTCAGCAAGGCAGGGTTTAGTTTAACTGTTTACAGGGGACACATTCTTCCAGAACCCAGCCTTCTCACCCCCAAAATATTTTTTTTCTATTTATTATTTTCTGGATCTGGCCAGTGGCTCTGGCACTAGATGCCACTGTGGCCAGATCTCCAACAGTGCCTTGGACTATGGACCATCACGGTCAAATCAATAAGGCGGCCCTGGTGCCCAAAGTAGGTAGCGGGGTTGGTCCTTGGTGTTAAATGATTAAGCCTGTATATATGTTCCTTGGTTTTGCTTTCCCCAGGATTCCTGAAACCTTCTTACCCATTTGGGGGTAAATTCCTCTAGCTAATTTGTGTCCACTGTAAAATTTATAGTCAACCTCATATGACCCTTCTCAACAGTGGCAGCAGCACCATCTCCCCTGCCCATGATGGATGTATTTAGGGGAGTAAGAAAATTCTCCAGGTGGATGGAGAAGGGTCTGGTCTGGGTTCTCCCCATACCCCTCCCATTGCCACCAACTGGGCAGCCATAACCATCTCTCTCCACCCTCTACAAGGGACCCCTACCAAACTTCACGGCAAGGCTGCTCTCACCAGCTATCTCAGATGACAACTGAGGCTCATGTACAAAATCTGCAGTGTCCTTTTTACCTGCACCTTTTTTTATAAGAATATATTGTAATACTAAAAAATATTAAATCCATACCATCCCTATCCAGGCTGCTAGAAACTTGTGCTTCCTCCCAGAGGGGACTTGAGGTGGGCTGGGAAATGGTCACAGTGGGGCATGTGCTACAGCCAGCTGGTACCGGCTCCACAAAAGTCCGCAGTGTTACGTGGAGAGCTAGAATTGGGAGTATTTGTATCAGGAAATTGCTTTTCAGAGCTGGTTGTTCAACCTTTGCCAGCAACCTCAGCAGGGTCACCACTGAGGAGACCCCCACAGGAGCCCATTCACATTAGAGAACCCAGGGGGCCAGGCCAGTGTTTGGGGGTGTGGAAACAGGAGTCTCCAAATCATTCCTGGTTACCAGTAGCTGGTGATACAAGCAAGGTGGCTGGGGTGCATCACCCCTACCTGACAAAATTCCTCTTAGAGTGCATTCTCACACCTCCCACTCCCCACGGTGGGAGGGGGAACGGGCATATGGAGAGAATGCTATTGGCCTTGCCAGGGTCTCCCTGCTTTTCTTGGGGAGCGGGTCTGTGGGATGGATTGAGGCGGAATGAACCGTAGCAGCCCAACACCCCCAGATACAGTCCTTGTTCTTGCCTCTCCAAATTTGGCACCATGGCTTTATTTGTCTTGAGGGCGAAGATCATCTTCAACTCTCTTCTTTCCCTGACATATTCCAGAATAAAGAGGTGTGTGTGGGTGGAAGGCAGTGAGCAGGTGTGGGGTAAGCAGTCAGCCAAGGGTCCCCAGGGGACCCCAACACGTGCATTCTGTGTAAGAGGGGGACAAGGTAAGAGAGCTGGCGGGTCAGTGAAATTGTTAAGTCCAAAGCCTATAGGTGGCATCGGCCACAGACTAGGGCCAAAGGAAGGGGCAACTGGCTCTTTGGAAAGAGGGATGGCAGGAACAGGGGGGACGGCACAGGGCTGTGGCCACATGAGATCGGGAAGGCCACACTATTGGAGAGAAGCTGTGACACATTCTTAAGCAAGCTTGTGCTTTTCCCTTCTCAAAGTGGGTTCCTCTGCTTAATTAGCCCTTATTTTCTCCCCAGGAACCAGGGGAAGAGAGAACCCAAAATGAGTAGTTACGGGTTGGGTTTCCAGAAGCTAGTGTCTCCAACAGTTCAAAAGTAACACCTGGTTTTCCTGTCACCTGGTGATGCTCTCTGTAGTCCCCTCCATTACCTCAGCGTCTTTGGAAGACTTAAAGGTCTATGGCATCCTCTCGGCGTAAAGGGGACTTCACAGGTTATTATAAATCATCTAGCAGCAAAGGGACAGGCTCTAAGCCCGATGGAAGTCCCCCCGCTGGCCTCCAGTCTTGCTGATGAGTTTGACCTCCCCCACCACGATGTCCCTGCTGACAGCCTTGCACATGTCATACAGAGTGAGGGCGGCCACCGCAGCAGAGGTCAGCGCCTCCATCTCCACCCCGGTGGGGCCCCGAGCCCGACAAGTGGCCTGGATTACTGCAGCGTGGCGCGAGCTGTCCAGTTCCAGCTGCACCTGGACGTGGTTCAGGGCCACATGGTGGCACAGAGGAATGAGCTGGCTGGTGATCTTAGCCGCCTGGATTCCAGCCAGCTGGGCCACCACCAGGGCATCTCCCTTCTTTAGCTGGTTCTGTTGGACAAGTTTGAAGGCTACAGGTCCCAGGAGGACCACAGCTGAGGCCACGGCCACCCGCTCCGTGTCTGGTTTCCCACCCACATCTACCATCGCTGCCTGTCCTTCCGAGTCCACATGTGTTAGCTGGTCTGAGGTCGACCAGGGTCCTGAGTGGGCAGCAGGAACCCGTGACCCTGGGCTAAGGCACTTTGAATTGGTGTCCGAATCTGCATGGGAGCTGTAGTGTCTCTGAGGGCAGCCAGACCCCATCCACGAATGGGTCTGGGGGATGCCATGTCCTTTCCAAAAAGTTGCCATCTGGTTGGAGAAACTCACTGTGGGTCTCAGACCTTGAACATGGAGGGGGTCCCTGGAGAAAATGCTCAGGCTGGCTGGTGGGGAAGAATCTTGGAGCAGCAAAAAGAACTCTGGAAGACAAGAAGGAAGAGAAGAGAGACTAAGTCCAAAATATAGTCTTTTTTCCCTACCTGTTCTCTCCAACCGTCTCCCTGCCCCACCTCAAGTTCTCTTTCACACTGAGGGAAAAAGACAAGAACAAAAAAACAGTGAGAAGAAACAAGACAGAAGACAGACAGAGGTGCCCACAGTTCACGCTTATAGCCTTTTGCCAGGCAATGATGGTGCAGGGTCATCCCTGTCTTCCCTTTGTCACACAATCTTCCAAAATTCCCTTAAGTACCACCTAAGGCCTGAAGGCTGGAGTGTGGATTGAATGAATCCTCAGTGTCCCTTCATTTTCTTAAAAGAAAACTGTAGTTGGTCTCCCCATAAATTATCAATTATAGCTATTTTCTTCTTCACGTTCCCTACCAAGAACTAGTAGAAATCATTTAGTGTACAGACCAGACATAAAAAATACTTGAACTACTTAAAAAATGCCTTTCAAGTTCCCTCTGGCACATCAAAAGTGCACATAAACTAATAGGTTGAGTCCAAGGGTCCAGAAGACCTTGGGAACTTTGCAGGCTCTTGCTGTTGTCCAAATGGTGGCCAAGAGACCAACAACATCAGTGCCATGTTAGAACTCATTAGAGATGAAGAATCCCACTCTAGTCCTCCTAAATCAGAATCTAAAACAAGATCCCCAAGTGGTTCATATGTACATGGAAGTCTGCGAGGCTCTGTCCTAGAAACTTGGGCTTTATAGCAACAGACAAGTCCGTGACCCTACATCCCTGAGAGTAATGGAGTTCCTTATGAAGTCAGGTCTCCCAGCTTCTGACTTTCCATCACACTTTGATCCCCAGCCTTGTCGATATCAGAAGCATACCCTCCCTTCTTGGGGGATCATCAAGGTGCTCCCCTCTCCTTGCCGTGAAGGTGCATCAGCACAGGCTAAGACCCACCAAGAGGACCACACTGCTGAAGTGGAGGCACAGGGAGGTGCTCACGGTGGCGCTTCCCTGGAGAGCTGCCTTCTGGGGTGGCTGGTGTGCTAAGGCTGTCTCTAGCTCGCTCCAGCGTGCATTCCTTTGCTCCAATCTCTGGAGAAAAGAACCCTTTGTTCCAGTTTTAATCATTGTGTTCTCTTGACTAATGGTCTGATTTAAGGGGCCCAGGACTGGATGTGACACAGGGTCAAGGCCTCACCTGCTCTATCTTGGCTCTGTGCCAGAAAGGCACAGTGGCCTTCCAGCTCTTCATGGACTGGCCCAGTTCCCTAGGATAGGAGACCACACATGGCTTTACAAAGGGGTGATGCTTCCCGTGCACACTTCCTAGAGTTCAGGAATTGGGAGGTTAAGATCCTAGCCATCTCCTGCCTGAAATGACTAGTAACATTGTGGCAGCTGCCTCCGTCTGTGCCTGGCACAGATGCACAGCACCAACCTCCAGGGCCAGTGGTCCAGGCGCATGGGCATGGATTACTCCATACTGCAGTGGGCAGAGCCTGTGATTGTGTCCAAGCTAGAAGATTCCAGAACTGAGGAAAGGGTCTCTACTTTAACCAAGAGCTTCACTCTCAAGGGACAACTAACTTAGTGACCATTAGGTAGTCCCTAATGTTCTGCCCTGATTTCTGGTGGGACAGAAGTAATTTCTGTGGCATGTATTGAGATGGGGAGCAGCGGGCAGGGAAGAGAAGAAAAAGTCAAGGCTGGAGGGGGTAAGAAAAGGCGAAGGAGTAGAAGAAAAACAAAATAAAGAACTCCAGGATGAGGTGCAGGAGCTGGGGTGCCTTGTGGCAGGGCCCCACCCCACAGGACCCCCCAATGACAAGGGTGAGTGGTTTACGTACTGATGGGTCACCCACCGATGAGGATCATGGGCCGGTTCTTCATCTGGGAAATACTGAACATGCCTGGGGTAGGGAAGGATGGGGAGGGAGAGGAGAGGGAGGGGCAGAGAAAAGGCAGGAGAGGAGAGTTCACTAAAACGAACGGGAGGCCCATGTGCTCCGACAGCCCTGCACATGCGCTAGCTGGACAAAAAGCCCCCACATGCACACAGCCACATCACCCAGGACAGAGGACAGTCTGGATGCCCAGGGCACTGTACTCCCTAACAGAAGACAACACGTGGAAATAGGAAATGGCAACCCTCTTCTCCAGCCGGTAACAGCCCAATAGAATTTCAGGTCCTCCTGTGCAGCCTCTTCCATGCTCACTTCCCCAAAGGAGAACCACCACCCCAAGTCCAGAGCTCCAGAAGCGAGTTGCAGCAGGGACACTTAGACCCACCAGCTTCTTCCCGGGCTTTCACTCTGCTCACCCCTAATTCTGAACCTCCCTCCTGCTGACCACAGCACCTCCCTGGCCTTCCCACTCCCGGCCTTACCTGCATGACGTGGCTTCTTCCTGCCCACTGCAGCCCCAATGATTTTCAGCAGCTCCTCCTCAGAGGCCCCTGCCCGCAGGTGGTCCCGCAGTGATACCTCCGAGTTCCCAAAGAGGCACACCTGTGTGGGGTCAGGACAACAGGCCCCTCGCCACTGAGCCTGAGCACCAATGTCTGAGCCTCCCTTGCAGGATCATACACAAAGCAGGAAACCCAGCCATGAGGGGCAGAGGGTGATGAATGGAGGGGTCAGAGAGGCTGAAGCAAAAGCAGACTTCCTGAGGCCCATGTCTGATTTAGTCATATTTCCTTTAGTGAACACATCATACTTTGAAAAGTTAAATAGAGCTGGGTGTAGTGGTGCACATCTGAATCCCAGTGACTCGGGAAGTTGAGGCAGGAGGATTGCAAAATTCAAGGGCAGCCTCAGCAACCTAGTGAGGCCCTAAGCAACTTAGGAAGACCCTGTCTAAAATAAAAAAATAAGAAGGGGGCTGGGGATGTGGCTCAAGCGGCAGAGTGCTTGCCTGGCATGCACGGGGCTCTGGGTTCGATCCTCAGCACCATATACAATAAAGATGTTGTGTCCACCAAAAACTGAAAAATGAATATTAAAAAATTCTCTCTCC